TTCTTTTCGTTGGGGGCCTGGCATTCATTCTGTCGGACCCATGCTCTTGAATGGTGGGAAGTGACTACAGTTGTTCAGATTTACCTAGGGAGCGAATTTGAGTACCTCAATGCGTGCTTGTTCGCCCCTGTACTTCCTCGTGATGTCGATCAGGTGCAGCTTCACGTGCAGGTTCCCTCCCTTTCGGTGTCCCTGGTGGCCGAGGATTTGCACGCCCGTGGGCATTTGGCTTCGGTCTTGCGTTTCTTTTCTCTGCTGGAGTTGTCTTCGGACTGGCTCGGCGAGGATGTGCAGGACTGGGATCTGGGCCAGTATCCAGTGTGCTTGTTTTGGCAGCTTGGGCATCGGCTGCCTTGTTGAAGTTGTTTGTGCCGATTCTGAGGAAGGCGGTGTCTCCCTGCTTCTCACCATGTGTGCCGACAGTCGGTGCTCGTCCACTCTTTGGAATCGGCTTGGGCCCTGGCTCTTAGATTTTCATCCCCCTTTTGTCTGTTGCTGTTTGCAGAGTCTGTGGTGGTGCATTTTCTGCAAGCGGCTTCGTCTAGTTGCCAGCCTATGTCGGACTTGTTGGTTCTCCTGGGGAGGGAGGGGGCCGTGGTGGTCCTGCCCGGAAGGGTTGTGCCAGGTCTCGTAGTTCCTTTGGTCATCGTAAGCCAGTAGTGCCAGATTCGGGACCAGCACCTCCTGTGGAGCCGTTGGCGTCTGGTCGGCGCAGTGATCACTCGGAGCATCAGTCGGGCTCTCGTAGGGGTCATTGGCCCTTTCGTGGGTTGCCCCCTTGATGGGGCGATAGGGGGGAAGCTCGCGCTGTTTGCTCTCGCCTGGTCCCACGATTCGTGGGCATTTCGGGTCGTTTCCTCCGGCCTGCGGTGGTGTTGTCGCTCCTCCTCCTTCGGGGGGATCGGGGCTGGCAGGGCAAGCCTCTTCTCCTGTGCTCTGTTGGGTCATCCGGAAGTGGGTTCGCTTGGGTGTGGTCGAAACGACAGCGTCCCTCAGGTGGGTTTCCTGCCTGTTTTCAGTTCTGAAACGGGCCTGTGCGGATCTGCGATTCATACTGGACTTGTCTCATTTGAATCCCTGGGCCTTTTGCCCCTCCTTTCAGATGACCACTCTCTCAGGTCCGGCTGCTTTTGGCGCCAGGTGCCTGGATGGTGTCTCTGGACCTCCTGGACGTGTAGTGGCACATCCCGATTCATCCAGGGTTCAAAGACTGGCTCGGTTTTGTCGTGGGGTGACAAGCTTACCACTCTCGTTGCCTTCCATTTGGTTTGAATCTGGCACCTTGCATGTTCACACGCCTTACCCAGGTCGTGATGACCCGTTTGCGTCTGTTAGGGATTCAGGTTCTGGCTTACCTCGACAACTGGCTGGTGTAGGCTCCCAGGCAGTCCATGTGTCTGCTCGGCAGGGATTTGGTTCTTTCCCAGCTCCCCAGGTTTGGGTTCTTAGTGAACTAGATGAAGTCCCATTTGGTTCCCTCTTGAGTTCGGACTTGGCTGGGTCTTGTGTGGGACTCTCGTACCGCTTCCTTATCTCTCCCTCCTGCACGCTGTTGAAGCTGCGGTCCTGCCTACAACTGTTTTTGGAGGGCACTCGGGTCACATGTCGATTGTTCGAGCAGCTGTGTGGGAGCCTGAACTTCGCTGTGCTGGTCTACCGTCAGGTCGGATCTGGTTTTTGTGGCTGTTCTGGTTTCTTCAGGGTCGTCCCTTCTGCTGCTCGAGCGATCGCTGGGTTCGGATCCTGGGAGCCTTGCGTCGGCTGCTGCATCCCCGGCTTCCTCTGCGGGTTTTTTGGGGTTCTGTGCCGTTGCGCCTCCCCGAGCCCTCGCTAGATGTGTTCATGGATACATCGTCTCTCGGCTGGGGTTTTGTGACAAGTATTCACCAGGCCTTTTGTTTTTCTGGGGGGAGCCCTGGAAGCTCCCAGGAGCCTATCCATGGCTGATATGGATACCTAACAACTTTGCATCAGTCGATGTGGGTGGAGTTCTAGGCCTACCAGAGACCACGAGCTAGAACCTGGCCCCCTCACAGAGGCACAGGGAGCATTCTATATCTGCCATCGACCGGGACAGGCACCCAGAAAGGTAAACGCCACAAAACAAACCCCTATTCTGGTTAACAACGAAAATCGACAAACGAGTGGACAGAACTCCCCAAGAAAAATGAACAAACAAACATGACGTCACATGAGCCGCACCGCATGTCTGCTCAGCTCCCACCTCCCCGGGAGGGGGAAAGGGAAGCCCCAGACCCCCGAGCCGGCGATCCCCGCCTCAGTTCCTCGGCTGATGGAATCTTGCATGGTCGTGTGGCTCCAGCACCAGTCTTGTCTCAGTGCTGCTCTTACGGTGGTCGTGTGAGCTGGGAGTAGTATTCTCAGGTACTCGGGCTGCATGTACTTAGGGTCACCTTCCCTGAGTGTCCTGTAAGTACCGCCCTTGGGGCTTGGGGTTGCCTTCCACAAGTCACTATGGGTCTACCTCTGTTGGCTTTTCGCTGCTTGGCGTTTGGCCGCCCCGAGTGTTTGGGGGTTTTCATCCCTTGTTTACCTTGGGGTAAGTGGTAGTTATAGCACTGGTGGGGCACTGGTACCCCAGTGTTCAGTTTTGGTACTGAGTTCTTTCAATTTTTCATTGTATCCCACTGCAGTCTTCTGTGTTGCAATGTCTGCGGGTGGTTGTGGACTTCCGGTCAACCACTCCTGCCCTACTGGTTCCTTTTCTTGGGACAGGGGTAGCTAGGATTCCGGTCCTGGCTACGGCTTTTCTTTGTTCCTTTTCCGGAACGTACATTTTTGTTTTCCTGTGGTACACGTCCTGCGTAGTTCTCCTCATATATACCTCGGAGATGCATGTGTCGTTCTTCCTTGCTGGAGCTGGTTGTGCTGCTCCTTCAGGTTGCGGGGGTCACTGTTTTTCGTTTAGCATCTCGCGCTTTAGTTCGTGGAGCTCGTTTTCCTCGTGGGCCTCTGCCTGGGCCCTGGCTTTTCGGTGTTTGGCCTTGTTGGTCCTTCAGGGGTCCTGGGGGGGGGGGGGGTCCTCCTGGACGAGGCGTGTCTGCTCGCCGGGTTGGTTCCTTCCGGCTCACCGGGACCGAGTTCCTGGTTTCACTGGCGGCCGTTCCTTCTGGTTCTTTGCCAGCCTTGGTTGGGGGCGCTGATTTACTTGGTTTCCGATCTTGCGGGTCTTCACGCGGATCCGCCTCTTTTTGCAGATCGGTCCAGCCCTGTACGAGGCTGGTTTGTTCTTTCCCTCGACTCTTCGTGTCTCGGGTTTTTGTCTCCAGTTTCTCGTCGCTTGTATGGGCACTGGTGGCTTCGTTGTTGGTCTTCCACCTGTGTACTTCATCTCGGCGGCAGTGTGTTGTTTCCTAGCGGTCCTTCCAGGTTTCCTATCACTGCGAAAGGTTCTTGGTCTCTGATAGGGTTGTTTGGTCTTTCCCTTCGGGGTTGCTCCAGGACCGTCGTCTGGTGCCATGTACTGTCACTTCGTCTTGGGTGGTGCTGGCGGGGCCACTCCAGCTTAAGTTCGGTGTTGCTGTTCCTTCTGTTCCACTCCGCTTGCTGTCTTGGGCATTGTTTCACCTCCAGCCTGCTCTTACACTTCCGGTGCTGTCCTGGTCGTTGGCCCGGGTGGTCTATTTTTCTTCTTCTCTTCGGTTTGTCTTGATCCCTTCGGTTCTGTTGTGTTTTTTTTTTTCAGGTCTCCTTTTTCTGTTGGCATTGACCTCTGGGAGTCGGGTCAGGGAGTTTCCGGCTCTCATCCGGCTCCCGTGTTTTTTCTCCTCGTTTGGTCCTAGTGGTAGGTTGTTCGTTTGCTGCAGTGTCCTTCTTTTCGGATGATGTTTGGGTCTGCTCTTTTCTGGAGAGGTCCTTGGATTGCTGCTTGCTTGGTCAGGCCAGGGGTGCTTCATTTGTTGTTCGGTTGTGACTCTTCACTGTTCTCTGCGCGTCTTGGCCTCTGAGGCCATACATGCGTTTTGGTTTGCCTGGGTTCCCTTCCTCCTCTCATTCCTGTTCTGGAGTTTGGGTCTCCCGGGTCGTCTGCAGGGTCCTTTAGTTTCGTCTGTGGTCTTGTTTTGTGTTAGGGAGTGTGGCGTCCGCCTCCCGGGTCCTTCCCTCTTTTCCTTATCTGTGGTGAGGTAGCTCCGGAGAGCCGATGGGGCTCCCCCCAGAAAACCAGCGTTGAATGTAATGAAACGCCATTTTCTAAGTGAGTCCTGGAGGCTCCCCGGCATCCCTCCCTCCCTCCGATCGGCAGTGTTTTTCCAGTATTTTGACATCCAGCCTAAGGTCTGCTGGTTGGAGCGCTGGCGCGAAGGTTCTGGGGCTCCCCCTTCCCCCTCCCGGGGTGGGAGGGGGGGTTGCACATACGGCGGCACGGCAACGTGATGACGTCATGCTAGTTTGATAATTTTGTTTGGGGGAATTCTGTCCACTCATTCGACTTTCGGTAACAATAGTTTTACCAGAATAGGGGTTTGTTTTGGGGCGCCTACCTTTCTGGGTGCCTATCCCGGTCGATGGCAGACATAGAATGCTCCCAACCACAGGGGTTTCTATAGGCCATTGCTCCTCGTGCCTCTCTGAGAGGGGTCAGGTTCTGGCACGTGGTTCCCAATAGGCAAGAACTCCAAGCACTTTGACTGATGCCAGAAAGTTATACTTATCCATTCAGCCTGGATAGCTCCGGGGAGCCTCCGGGTCTCGCCCAGAAAATGGCGTTTCATTACATTCAACGCCGGTTTTTTAGTTATATGCATGTTGGTGTTGTACTTCATAGAAACTAAAACATTTTGGGTTTAAGTGGAGGGCAAGTACAGTCAGTCATAGAAGCATTAAGAAATGGGTAAGTAGTCAGTTAAAGAAGCATTAAAAAAAAAGGATACACTTATATCACTAAACACTAAACTAAAGGTAGACACTTATAAAAAGAAAATTGACTGTATTAAAACTTAAAGTATTTTGATTTATTATTGTGTTTATTTTTCACTTAGATAAGTGTGATTATCCTACACTCCAAAATGGCAAAGTTATTCCCTTCAAAAGTACGTATAAAGTTGGTGAGACTGTGACGGTGCAGTGTTCTAGCGGTAGATACTTGACCGAGGGCGACTCACGGCTGCTGTGTGGTGTGGGGGGAGAGTGGACCTCGGCCTCTATCTTATCTTCCATGCCCGAGTGTCAAGGTGAGAAATACTGTAAGTTCTTAGATAAATTGATTTCTTATGTACTGTGTATTTAAGTAGTGTCAGTCTGAAAGGGAAAATATATTACAGGAATAATGAGTGTACCATACCTAAGAAAGTGAGATATTTAAATTTGAAAGAAAATACAATACCCTAGTTTACTTAATCATATATTGTAAGGTACTGTCTAAATATATGCTTTTAGAAGGAAATAAATATTATAAATATTCTTCATAATTCATAAATCAATTACAGCATTTTGATATAAGAGTCTCTGTACATTTCTAAAAATTTGTGAAAAAAAAATTGAATGTAATGAGATGTGCAGGCGATGAGTCACAGTAACGTGGCTGAAGTATGTTGACCAGACCACACACTAGAAGGTGAAGGGACGACGACATTTCGGTCCGTCCTGGACCATTCTCACAATCGACTTGAGAATGGTCCAGGACGGACCGAAACGTCGTCGTCCCTTCACCTTCTAGTGTGTGGTCTGGTCAACGTAATGAGATGTGTTGGGATCGAACTTCCTTTTCGGGAGTAGACCCAACACATTTAAACCATTTGGTACACTAGTATTAAATCCAACTTTTCCTACTGAGATCTCACTATGTCTTAGTGAGGTGTCTTTCTCCGCAGCCTGGCCCATCGTCAGGTGCGACACACTTTACTAGGCTGGGCCCTGACTATGGCCACCATTTATAATCTCTGGTAGAGCCCCGGTGGCCCCCTGAAGTTATCTAGCCAAAATGGCTTCCCGCTGTTGGGTCACGTAAGTCATGAGAGCCTGTTTGGCCTACTGGGGACCAGAGCGAAACCTGACCACCTCAAAGTGGCGCAGAGAGCCAGGGATTGTTACAATCGTCCAACCTGGGAAAGCATCCAGAAAGTCAGTGAAACAATACAAACAATGAAACGTTTCATACAAAATGAAGCGCCAAAGCAGCCAAATGACTCTGCAAATAACTTATTCAAAACAATTGATTTGCTCGAAACTACATAACTGTAATCTCCTGGTGCAAATGGCCATCAACATGTGGCATCCTGGAGCTCCTGGGTAGCAGCCAGCTCCTGATCAGCTCAGAGCTGATAGACCACGAACCTGGTACTGTGTGTTGTCTGTCTGTTGTTGGTTCCGGGGATCAATGTCCCGACTGTTTTGTTTGTGACCAGGCCTCCTGGTTGGTGGTGTGGTGACCAGGCCTCCTGGTTGGTGGTGTGGTGACCAGGCCTCCTGGTTGGTGGTGTGGTGACCAGGCCTCCTGGTTGGTGGTGTGGTGACCAGGCCTCCTGGTTGGTGGTGTGGTGACCAGGCCTCCTGGTTGGTGGTGTGGTGACCAGGCCTCCTGGTTGGTGGTGTGGTGACCAGGCCTCCTGGTTGGTGGTGTGGTGACCAGGCCTCCTGGTTGGTGGTGTGGTGACCAGGCCTCCTGGTTGGTGGTGTGGTGACCAGGCCTCCTGGTTGGTGGTGTAGTGACCAGGCCTCCTGGTTGGTGGTGTGGTGACCAGGCCTCCTGGTTGGTGGTGTGGTGACCAGGCCTCCTGGTTGGTGGTGTGGTGACCAGGCCTCCTGGTTGGTGGTGTGGTGACCAGGCCTCCTGGTTGGTGGTCTGGTCAACAAGGTTGTTAGATACAGCTGCTTGCAATCTGATGTATGAATCATAGCCTGATTGGTCAGGAATTCTTTAAAGTTGGCTTACCAAGTTCTCTTGTAAAATCTATGCTGCATGGGTTTGTTAAAAAAATAGATCCTGTCTTTCAAACCTGCTCTCATTTTTGGATACAATAACCAGCTACTCAGACAAAGGACTTCCGGTGGATGTAGAATACAGCACTAGAATGGATAAAACAATTATTAAAACAAAGCAAATAAAGGTTCATGCTAAATGAGAATGAATCTGACTGGAAAAAATGTGGTGAGTTGGGTTCCACAGAAGTCCATTTTTGGCCAACCATTTTTGGCCAACCATTTTTGGCCAACCATTTTTGGCCAACCATTTTTGGCCAACCATTTTCATCATATACATCAGTGACAAAGATGAGAATATTACAAACCACATCATCAAACTTGCCGCTGACACAAAGATTTATGGTAAAGTGAAAAATGAAAATTATATTGAAGCCTTACGGAGAGATCTACATGAACTCCTCAAATGGTCAGAAAACTGGCAAATGCTGTTTAATATTTCAAATGCAAGATCTTGCATGTGGGGCATAACAACCCATATCACAATTACCAGATTAATAACATTACCTTGCAGCAGATTGATGAAGAAAAGGACCTTGGAGTCAAAATCTACCTTTCACTAAAAGTTGCACAACAGGTAGCAGCAACAGTAAAAGAGCTAACCAAACCCGAGAACAAATCAAGCATACATTTGACTTTAAGGAAAAGAAGGTAATGATTTGATTGTATTAATCTCTGGTATGCCCACACTTGGATTACTGTATCCAAGCATGGAGACCTCATCTTCAATAGGACATAGCTACTCTCGAGAAAGTACGTCATCAGTGGTAGAACTGTCCTGAAGAGCTGGTTGGGACCTGCAGCTCCAGCCCATAATCACAGGCAGAGGGGGGGGGGGGTTAGTACTAACAAACTCAAATTAGTTTGAGAAATTTGATCATTTCTTTACATTCTTTGCTTTAATTTTGCTTCTTTGCTTTCAAAGTTTTGAGGCTCGGAGTCTCTTTGAACCCAGCAGTGGTATATTTTAGTTCACTGCCTTTCTGGGTGTTTTCCTGGTGGGGTGGTGGAGTGTTATCTGGCTCTGGTCCTAAGTAGTTCCAACAGAACTCTTGAGCTGATGTGACCTAGTAATTGGGTACCATCTCAGAAAGATAGCTTCAGGGAGCACAAGATGCTCCCCTAGAAAGTACCAGAACAAGCACAGTACTTTGGGGAGGGGGGGGGATTCAGCTTTTCACGGTGGATAATTCAGATTTTACTTCACTGACTATTACACTTTGGGTTCTGTTACCTTCAGGGCATAAAATTGAACAAAATACCACCAAACCTAACTGCAGGAAAATGAAGCCCATAAAGCAGCAGCTGCTTGATAAGCCTCTAGTCTTGAGGCAAGCTCAGTTAAAATAGAGGCCCAACGAGCACAAACGTCACAGGCGTTGGAGTCTCGCGTCACACACAGAATGACTGTCGGCATATAGCAAGGCTGATGAGCACCCTTCAAACTTGTGTGTAGCGAGTGCGTGCTTGTCGGTTCAATCTATAATAAACTGTAGACCCACTGGGGAGTTGCCAAGGTCTAAAGTCAAATAACCCAACAGGATACCCAGGCACTAGTGACACACTCTGAAAGAAGACACTGAACACAGCCTATAGATAAACTTGGCTATGAAAGATGTCTGTAGGGTGCAGTACAAACAAGTTCACATACCGCATCATACCCCAATTCACAATTAAACAGCCATAGGGCCTCGGAGGAGAGTCAACGATTCTGCATTACCCAGGGTGAGGCTCTCCACCTTGGTGGCCTGGCACTTTAGGGGGGGAACTCTCAAACACACCAGAGAAGTAACTGTTAGTTAAGGGAGTAACACTTAATGAGTGCCTAGGGAAGGGTCATCCTAGACACGTGCAGCTCATAGTGAATAATAAGAGCAAGTCCACACAAGAAGTGCATCAGAGAAACACTCACCCATGAAGCAAATACTAAAGATTTTGTAACATTGAACATGGAAATGCTTCCCAAAGGACAAAGTGTAAAGAAGGGCAGCACTTGGTTCAGAAAGAAGCGGTGATCACTATGAAGAGGTGATCCAGGAAGAGCTACACAGGCAGCAGTTGTATGGTGGACATATCTCAAGAAGCACATCAGTAAATTGGAAGGTACAAAGACCTGCAACTAAATGGCTTCCGGAACCGAGAAATGAGCTACGAGGAGAGGCTAGAGGTGGTAAATGTACCAGTGCTAGAATATAAAAGACATGGAGGTAATATGATCACTATGTACAACATGGTAACAGGAATCAGCAAAATTGACAAAAGAAGAGTTCTTGAAAACTACAATTTCAATAAAGACATAAAAAATTCAAATTTAGAAAACAAAGTTGCCAAAAAAACCTTAGGAAGTTTACTTTTGCAAACAGAATGGTAGACAGTTGAAATAAATTGAGAAAATGGCGGATGTCAAAAGCGTCAGTGGTTTCAAAGTGTAATATGACAAAGAGTACTGGGAAGATGGGACACCATAAGTATAACTCTCATCCTGTAACTACATTTAAGCAATTACATTTAGGTAATTATGGTAGAACATCAGTGACAGGATGCACCTGGGGTTGGCTGGTGGCCGGGAGCTCTGGGATGCCACCTGTTGGTGGCCATTTACATTAAAGGGACGTGGGGGTGGGTTCAAGCTAGTTTCTAATAAACTAGTTGTTTTGCGGAGTTGTTTGCCTGTTTCAGTGCCTTTTCTGTGAACCTTGCAGTTGTCTATAGTGCTTTGCTAACTTTCTGGACGAGTTTCCAATGTGGTTATTGTAACAGTCCCAAGCTTTCTGCATCTTTATGAAGGGGGAGGAAGGCAGGTTGTGGGTCAGGTTCCTGGTAGGCCAAACAGGACTCTTATGACTGGTGAGACCCAGTAGTGGGAAGTCATCTCGACAAGACAGCTTCAGGGAGCCACCAAGGGGCAACCCCCAGAAACAGCATATTCAACATATTCCAGTAAGCTGAACTGAAGGTTTTTGTGAATAGTCAAAGTTGGCAAGTTTTTCTTATAATCTTTGTAGCCGTCAGTGTGACAATTATGCACCTTATTTTCACGCTGTAATATTCTTAATTTAAGTTGACCAAACCACACACTAGAAAGTGAAGAGACGACCACGTTTCGGTCTATCCTGGACCATTATCAAGTCGATTGTTATAATGACAACAACAATCGACTTGATAATGGTCCCGGGCCGACCGAAACGTCGTCGTCTCTTCACTTTCTAGTGTGGTTTGGTCAACATTTTTCAACCTTGTTATTGTGACTCCTCATCTGCATTCTTAATTTAAATTGGTTATACGATTCCTTTACAATCAAATTACTGTATATTCAAGATGATACTGAGACCAGATCTTATATAGCAGTGTATTTTAAAAACAGTTCTGATGTGCAAACCTCCTGTCCGCATCGCTCATGGCTCGGTGCAGGTCATAGAACATGAAAACATTTTGCTTGGATCTAAACATCATAGCTACAATGCAGCAGACCACTTCCCAGAGGGCAGTGTAGCCGAGTACTCGTGTGACACAGGATATTGGCTCCATTCGTCGTCCCGTGTGAGGCGCACTTGCCATCGAGGAGTATGGGCTGGAGACCTGCCTCAGTGTGGTATGTTTTGTGGACCTTGTTAATTTAAGGAATTGTGATTTTAAAGTCAGATTTAAATAATAAGACTGTTCAATTCATAAGCTATTTGAATGGGTCAAGTTTAGAAATCTTGTAGATTCAGTCTCAGTAGGTTTCTAGGGGAAGGGGACCATTTGTGGCTTCCTGAAGCTACTATAGTGATATAGTGCCTAACTACTAGGTGCCATCAGTCACGGAGATATTATCCTACAGGGACCACAAGCCAGAACCTGGCCCACTCAGAGAGGTGCAGAGAGCAGTGGCACTATGAAACATTTAATGTAAATTGATATATTGATGAGCTATCAATATGCTGTATTTTGCTTATTAATCTTTGTTAAATTACCAATCAAGCTGTCAATGCAATCAATCAGAGTTACCGATATGTTCTAATATACCTACTAATCTCTCTCATCTCATTTTTTTCTTGCAATTTACCTGTTATCACTTTTAAATTTTGCTAGACTTTACCTACTTAAAATTATACGTTAGATTATGGACCTGCCCGAAACACTGCTCGTACTAGTGGCTTTACAAGAATGTTAACCCCATGCTATGTATTCTCTCAAACCTAATGTACCTTCTTTTGTGTATGTGTGTGTGTGTGTATATATTAATATTATTAAATAAATAAATAAATAAATGTAAATTTATTCATGTCTGTCACCACCAAGAGGAGGCACCCAGAACGTCAGTGGAACAAAAAAAAGACCACTACTTGGTTAAAAACCATACCACCCACTCAAAACAGCCTAAAGAACTCCCCCAACAATGTTAACAAACGATAGAAAATTCTGGAAACTAGCATGAGCTAGTTCGCCCCACCTTCCCCGTTGTTTGTGGAGAAGAGAGGCAGACTGGATCAGTCAATTGCTCCACCATCAGTTCTTATGCTGATGTAGAGAGTGCCTGCTTGCCCTCTCACTCTGCCTCCTTGAGTTTTTAGTTGTTTGCCTCAGGTCGTGGTGGCCCGTCTTCAGTTGTTAAGTGTTCGGGTGTTGGCCTACCTCATGGACTGGCTGCTGTGAGCTCCCAGCCAGTCGGCATGTCTGCTAGCCAGGGATCAGGTTCTTTCCTAGCTTTCCGGGTGTGGGTTTCTGGTGAACTGGCGGAAGTCCCAGTTGGTTCTGTATCGGGTTCGGGCTTGGTTGGGCCTCGTTTTGGACTCGGTTGTTATTGCTTTCCTTGCTGAGAACTGCTGAGTTCTCAGGGATTGGTTATACATGCCATTCGCGTTCAGGGAGTGTCTAACATCCTGGCCACCAGTCTGTCCCGGTTTCTTCCCATCTCCATGAAATACAGTCAATGCCACTTCCTTCCTTCCTGTGCCGAACGTTGGAACACCCAAACATCGACCTCTTTGCATCAGCATGGTCTCAGTATTTGCCTCTTTAAGCTGCACCGTTCCCTGACTGCAAGGCTCTCGTGGTGGCCGCCTTTGGGCTGGTTGAGATTGGGGTACATTTACCTTTTTCCCCCCAGTCCATCTGTTGCTCTGGGTGCTGGCATGGATGGAGTCCTACAGGGGAAGGGTGATTCTTCTGGCTCCTTGGTAGCCAGCCCAGCCTTGCTTTCAGGCGGTGCTTGCTCAATGTCCAAACCAGGGCGTTTTTCCGTGGCTTTGCTTCTTTCAGCAGGTCAAGTTGGTGATGTACTTCGCTTGTTTGACCACCTCTGCTCTATGCATTTGGAGTTTTTCATGCATGTCTATCACAATATCTATGGTGATGAGGTGGCTGGTTTAATGGTGTTCCACCTACTGTCTTCTTTCCAGCACCAATATGAGATATCTTGGTGTGTCTTCCTCTATTTTCATCTCTTTATCACTGTTCTTCGGTTTCAGAGCGGGTTGTTCTGCCCTTTCTTTCTTGGCCTTTCCTAGACAGTATGCCAGATACTGTCAATTCATCATGCAGCGATGACAGAGCTACTCCAGCTTGCCTTCGGGGTCGATGTCTCTTCAACCCTGTTTCGCAAGCTTTCTTGCACATTGTTTCACCTCCAGTGTGCTCATGCACCGCCTGAGCCTGTCTGGTCCCTTGACTGGGGCTCTTTTTTTTTTTTTCTTTCATCTGCTCAGTTTACAGTGGCCCCTTTGGTCTGGGATTGTTTTTGTTTTTTTTCTGGGGAAAGCCCCTTCGGCTAACTGGAGCTATCCGGCTGATACGGATGTATAAGCTTTGAGCGTCAGTCAATGTACATGGAGTTCTAGGCCTACTGGGGACCAGAAGTAAGAACCTGGTCCCTCAGAGATGGGAGGAGCAATGGCCTATAGAGACACCTTATATAGGGTTTAGAAGTACTCTATGTCTGCCATCGACCGGGTCAGGAACCCAGAAAGATAGGCGCCCCAAAACACCCTCCCCCCATTCTGGTGAAAAAATGCTACCAAACTCCGAACGAGAGGATAGAACTCTCCATGAAGAAAAATGATCAAACGAGCATGACGTCATCTCATTACCAACGCACCGCCATCTGCGCAAACCCCCCTCCCAGGGAGGGGGAAGGGGGAGCCCCAGACACCCCACCGGCTACCCAAACCTATCAGTTCTTGGCTGATGTCGGTGGCCTTCGGTCGTGTACCTCCAGCTCTTGCTTTTCTTCTGTTCTTGCCTCGGTGGTGTGCGAGCTCGGAGTATATTCACAAGTACTCGTCTTGCATGTGCTTAGGGTCCCCTTCCCTAAGCGCCCTGTAAGTACTGCCCTTGGGGTTTGGGGCCTTCTTCCACAAGTCGCCTTGGGAGCTACCTCGGTTGTGTCATTTACTGCTTGGCACTTGTCCGCTCTTGGAGTCAGCAGGTAGGGTGAGGGGGTGTTTGTTGCTCCTCCATTTGTCTCTAAGTAGGGGATAGTATTCATCAGTGGTAGGTGCACAAGGTATTTACGTAGCTAGTTTTCACCTCTCATAGCGGCTGACTCTGCATCCTTTGGGTACACTGCCCTCGGGCATTTCTTTTTGTTTCTTTGTTCCTTGCATTGGTGGGGGGGGGGGGGTCTGCCCTTGGGTTTGTGTTACACCCTCTATATTAATATTGGTGGTAACCCCACTAGGCCCCTGTGAGCGTACACGTCCCAGGGGTGCAGTCTTAGAAGTTTGTTTGGTAGTATTGGGAGCCGGTTAGTAGTACCCCTGTCTGGGCTTGCCTTAGTGGAGATTGAAAAGCTAAGGGCTCTGGGAAACCCCACAGGGGCACATGGGTCCATTAGATGTGACCCCTGAGTCCCCCCTTCCCCCCTCACTTTTTGCGAGTTTGAGGGTTGCTCTGTCTCCTTGTCTCAGGATGACTCGCTGTTTTTGCCTCCGTCCAGCTGCCTGTTGGGTTGACCTTGTTCACCTTTGACCCAGAGTCCTGCGAGATGTTGCTTGTTAGTGACTCTGTTCACCCAGTCTGCGGATGACTCTCTCCGGGTGCTGGCGGCTCTGGTGTTGCATGCTAGGTTTAGATTGCAGTAATGCACTAGGATGTTTGCTCACCGGAAGCCCCGAAGTTGCCCCGTGTTACTTATGGGGTTCTGGACTTGGGGATGTGGTTCGTTTCGGCCTTGGTTTGGTCTGCTCCCCCTCATTCTTCCGCTGCTGTAGTGCTTTCTGGTCCCCCTCCTGCTTCCGGCTCCGAAGCATCTGAAGGCTTCGGGGTCGGGGTGAAGTTTAGCTGGTTTTGAGACTTGGGCAGTCTTGGGGGATGCCACTTTTGGGGTGGCGATGGAGGTATGCGAGTCGGTTCCTCCAGCCGTTGCATATGGATCTGACCAATGGGCCACCTTCCTTAGTGTTTTTACAGCTGCCCTGGTTTTTTCTTTTGAGGCTGGGCTTTGGAGGACGATTCGGTCCCGGGTCCTGGTATGGAGATTCCAAAGATTGGGGAGGGGCTGCTGGGGAGCCTTGAGCCCCATTGGACCCCTCCTGGGTTTCCCTACCCTCCGAGTGGAACTTACTGTTACGTGGTGTGGCTTTTCTTCCCCCTCTCCCTCTACATACGAGTTGGTTTTTGGTGTCGGCCCCTCCTAGGGTTCGGTTCCATGTCCCTTTGGGGTCCATCGGTTCTGCCCTTCCTCTGGCACATTTTACCCACTTTATCCATTTTCTTTTCTAAGAAATGCATTCTTTCTACACCATATCAACATCATATCGGTCATTATATCCTACTTCAACTGGATCCTACATGGTCACTGGTCCCATATGCCAATGGACCCATATGAGTCTACGTGGCTTTGTGCATGATTTTCAACGGTCTGGAAGGTTCAAGGCGCACTTCCTTCATTAAAAAACTAATGGAACCTCTGTTGCTTCCGGTGATGATTGCCTCCAATATTTTATAAGAATCATTGGTGCTCTTCGGTACTACTTATCTTCTTTAAGTACTATATCTCATTAAATTATGATCACGTCTTATCTCAATAAATGAACATTGTGGGCTACCCTCCCCAAATGCAGAGAGGGAACAGCTCGGACCTCGGGCATCCTGAGCATGGCCTGGGTACAGGATGGTACATTGGGGGTTAAGAGAGTACATAGCATTGATGATTACATTCTTGTAGGGCCCTTGGCATGCGCGTGGCATTTTACGGTCATTTAATTGCATATTTGCTTACTTCATACCTCTCTTATACACCTTGTTGTGTTTATTAATGTGCATATTGGCTATAATTATAATAATAGTGCTAGGCTAGACTATTTACATGTTCATATCCCTGATCCTGCACAGTGCCAGTGTTCAGTTATAGATCTGTGTTATTTCATCTTCTCCTTGTATGATATTACGAGCTGATCTGTTGAAACGTCAGCAGGTGGAAGTAGATCTTGTATCAACCGCTTTATATTACTGGCATCATATTTGTGAGGTGCCCCCCAGAGAGGAGTGTTTCGTTACATGCGGCACTATATACATGTATATTAGTTACATATATTTTGTTTTTGTAGGGACACAGGAATTGATGTTTTTTCATATCACTTTCAGTGAGCCAAGGTTGCATGGCACCTGAGCCGGTGATGAATGGGTACTACATAGAGGTGACGGGTTCATCTGACTTGCAATATCCACCAGGAGCCACTCAGCAGTTTGTGTGTCACACTGGCTATGTGCTACACGGACCCGATCTCTTCGTTTGTAAGAAGGCCGGTGAGTGGGTACCACGAAGAGAACCACGATGCGAACCATCCAAACAGCTCATTGGTTAGTGTTTCTTGAGACTCATTTTTATGTAATGTATATTTAAGATGATGATGATGCACATTATTACATCTGTAGTTCTCAAAGCACTAATTTTTATAATATGTGTAAAGTGTCTTGGTTCATGTTACCACTTTGCATCGTATAGTACAGTATATGGATGTGTGTCGGCCTCTCGGAAACATGAGTGCATATTGTGTTGCAAGTACCGCTATTATATTGCCCGTAAATTATATGGCATGACAATTATGATCTTTGTCAGATAGCTTAACCTAGTGTCACATGAAAATTTTATTATATTTTTAGGCTCAGAACTATGTGCTGTGCCACCTGAAGTTGTGCATAGTGTCCAGAAGCTTGTGCGTGGGGTGGTGACCGCTCGTGGCGTTGTTCACGGGACAACAGTGGCATACAGGTGTCATGCTGGCTACAGGAATGTCTTGGCCCCATGTGTGGCCCATTCTCTCACCTGCCATGAAGGACAGTGGCACGGCACTTCTCCTGAATGTGGTTAGTTGGAAGGGATGCACGTGTGAATGATGTGGCAAGAAACATAGTAAAGAAAGGTATTGATAGCATAAAATAGGTTGTTAAAGATGAGTGACTAAAGGGCATTGAATTTATAAAATACAAAAGGTGCTTGAATATATTGATTGTACATGTTTTGAAAATTTTAAATTTTAAAGGAACTTCAATTTTTTAATATATCCTGTAAATGGCCCTAAATTGATTTAATATAAATGACCCTAAATTGATTGAATATAAGGGATCTTGAATTTGCTGAATACACAGAATGTATGAGTTTATTTGAATATAATTGACCTTAGGCTGTTACTATGGATTCTAAATAGGATATGCGAGATAGGCCGACACTGTAATTACCAAAGTGTAGTTACAGGATGAGATCTACGCTCTCATGCTTATACTATAATCTCTCTCATGACCATAATGAGGCCCTCTCGTTTATCATCTAGTTCTTCCTTTGATCATGTGTTGCTTGCTGGTGGGCTGTAGGCAGTTACAATTATCAGTTTATCATCCTGATTCCAGACCTTCAATGCCAGTATGTCAACTTCTTGAGGGTTTTCAGTTATTAACTCTCTTATCTTCAGGTGTACTTTCACCATCACAGCCACTCCTTCCCCCTTCCTATTTTTCCTGTCACGTCTCCAAACTTAGTGGCCCCTTGGGAATACCACCTCATTTAAAATATTTTCTTCAAGTTTCATCTTTGTTAGTGCGACAATATAATAATAATAATAATAATAATAATAATGTTTATTTAGGTAAGGTACATACATACAATAAATTTTTACAAAGATTGGTTGACTTATAGGTAGAGCTAGTACATACAATGCCTAAAGCCACTATTACGCAAAGCGTTTCGGGCATAGAAACGGGAAATAGAAATATCTGGGACCTTATGCTGAATTATATCTTTTACCTCCAATATTTTATATCTCTCCATCTATGTTGGTATATACAATTTTCAGGAACATGTTCCCTTTCCATTTGTCCTTTATGTCCACTTCCTCTAAGGTTTAGTTGCTTTGTTTTGTTGCCCTGTGTTGCACCTTCTCCAGAGCAGCTCTATCTTTCTGAAGATGAGGTCTCCATGCCTGGATGCACCTTCTCCAGAGCAGCGATATCTTTCTGAAGATGAGGTCTCCATGCCTGGATGCACCTTCTCCAGAGCAGCTCTATCTTTCTGAAGATGAGGTCTCCATGCCTGGATGCACCTTCTCCAGAGCAGCGATATCTTTCTGAAGATGAGGTCTCCATGCCTGGATGCACCTTCTCCAGAGCAGCGATATCTTTCTGAAGATGAGGTCTCCATGCCTGGATGCAATAATCCAGGTGGGGGTGCACCAGAGTACAATTGAATACAGTAGTCATTCAATTGTACAATACAGTACAGTTGATTGACTACTTTCTTTTCCCTGAAGGTAAAGGTACGCTTGATTATTCCCGAGGTTTGGTTCACTTTTTTTACTGCTGCTCCCACTTGTTGTGCAACTTTTAGTGAGTGATGGATTCTGATTCCAAGGTCCTTTTCTTCATCTATCTGTTGTAAGGTAGTGTTGTCATTTTTGTAGTTGTAACGTGGATTGTTATGCCCCATGTGTAAGATCTTGCATTTATCGACATTAAAGAGCATTTCCAGTCATCTGACCATTTATGGAGTTCATGCAGATCTCTGTAAGGTCTCAATATCACTTTCACTTCCAACTTTACCATAGATCTTAGTGTCATCTGCAAATTTGATGATGTGATTTGTAATGTTCTTATCTATGTCATTAATGTATACTTATTTCTTGTCTCTTAGTTACTTTTCAAATTCCCTATATTTTCATGTATTCTGGGACGCCACTTACAGCCCTCACCCTGTTCCCAATACTCAGGCAATTGGATTTATCCTGGAGCGTGCAGCAGTGTGACTCCTGCCTCCTGGTGCTCTCTCTCTATGTCATAGTGCCCACAGTGGTGGGCACTCTGCATATCAACTTGTGAAAGAACAAAAATGTTTCTCACACTCAAATGTCCTCCAAGTGTCCTGTGTGGTCATTCCTTCAGGCCATGTTAATTCCATTACATAATTTCATGTGGTTTCCAATGAATCGCCTCACTAAACCTGCATTCACACCATGCAACTGGTTGGCAGTCAGTCTTTTCCTCTGCTTAGCTGCCTTTTGGGTCTATGACACATATGAAGAGATATCTTGTTCCTTGTGAGCTTTCTCTCCATTCTATCTCAGCCTTCCTCATCTTTGTGATGATCCAGTATTTGGTTAATGTTCCCAGGCCTCGTCATGCCGGTCTCACCTTGGGTCGTGTCTCTGAGCCTGGGATGTTGTTTTTATTCTGAGTACTTGCAGTTTTCCTCCTCCTCGGTGAGTCCTTCTCTTTCTTCTCCATGGGTAGTTAGCTTCAGAAAACCACAGGGAGGGGGCTTCCCCTCAGAAACTCAGTGTTGGATGTAATAGAATGCCTCTTTCTGGGTGAGTCTCGGTGGCTCCCTGTCTCCCTCCTTTCCTTCCAGGTCATCAGTTCAGGCATTTCCTTTACTCCAGAACTGGCTTCAAGCCCAATGGGCATCAGAAGGCCCAACTTCCACTTCCTTTTAAGTAATGGGGAGGATAGTGCTAACGGCTCATGCTTATTTAAAGAAATTTGATTATTTGTTTATATTGTTGGGGAGTTTTGTTTGATGGTTTTGATGCTTCGGTCTCTCTTAAATCCAGTAATGGTCTGTATTGGTTTGTTGTTCCTGGATGCTTTCCCAGTGGGGTGACAGTGTCACCTGCTCTCTGCACCTCTGGTGGGGCCAGGTTCTGGCTCTAGTCCCTGGAAGGCCAAACAAAACTCCATGGCTGATGTGACCTATTAGTTGGGAGCCATCTAAAAAAAGAAAGCTTCATAGAGCCACTGGAGCTCACCCAGAATGAGGTGTTCTATTACATTCAATGCTGGGTTTTTGTGGGCTAACAGGGTTTTGATGGTCCATTTGTTAGTCCATGTTACTGGGCCCAGTTAGCCTGTTGACTCTTGCTTTGCCTTAGTGTCTACCATCTCTCTTCTTCTTCCCTGGTAAGTCGTTGTGTTTCTTCTCTGAGATTAGTTAGCTTTGGAGAACCATAAGAGATTTTTCCAGAAATCCAGTCTTGACTGTAATGAAAGGCCTCTTTCTGGATAAGTCCCAGTGACTCCTTGACTCCCTCCCTTGCAGGTACATTGATTAGTGGTTGTTACATCTGCTGCAGAACTGACTTAGGAGGTTTGGAGGAGGTCTGGATCTCCTGGCTCCCTGATGATGGTGGTTTGGTACAAATGAGCTCAAACTAGTTTCAATCGTTTGTTTGCATAGTTTGGGGAGTTCGTTTGGCAGTTTTGAGGCTTCACTTCTGTTGAACCCAGCCGTAATCTGCATTGCTTTGTTGATATTCTGGATGCTTTCCCAGCGGGGTGAGTGTGTCACCTGCTCTCTTCATCTCTGTGAAGGGGCTAGGATCTGGTTCTTGTCCCCGGTAGGCCAAAGAAAATTCTGTGACTTATGTGACCTGGTAATTGGGATCAATCTTAGCAAGATAGCTTTAGGGAACCAACAGGGGCTCATCTTGCAAGCGGCATTACTGTCATTGCTGGTTTTTGTGTATATTTTACTATAAAGTACGTTAATTCACTTATCTGGTGAACAGAGGAATTCAGCAGCTGCGTGGCTCCCCCAAACATCGCACACGGTTTCATGTACAATGGAGCGGCATCTTCGTACCCTCTTCATTCAAAGGTAAGCTCTTACAGTTTCATTCAACTTCTTTAGCTAATGTTCTTTCACTCCATTATAATATTTCTTTCTCTTACATAGTGTTATGTGTGAACCATCTGTAAGAATACTCATACCATTTCGAGCAGGTCTTAATTTTCCCTGGAATATGACCCGCCAAATTGTTTAACAACCAGATACCCATTCACTGTTGGATGAACAGAGGCGTACAGTTCAGGATTGGCAGCTAGTCAATCCTTCCCGAGCAGGATACTAAGCCAGGGTAAATTACTCACGAAGCATGGGACGAGTGTGTTACTACAGCTCCACAGGAACTGCGCAGTGGTATATAAAAGGGAAAGTTTTCCAATGGATAAAGGAGTACCTAAACAGCAGAAGACAGCAAGTCATTGTGAGGGGTGAGGTCTCAGAATGGCAAGATATCACTAGTGGAGCATCACAGGGTTTAGTTCTTGGATCTGTAACGGTTCTATTGTTACGTAAAGTATGGTGACAATAAACACAGACACTAAGATACTATATATATATTTGGTCGAATATACAGAAGTACACCGGTGATACTTTGGTGTGAGTTGAGCGCACTGAGCGTCGGTACAGTATCTCACAAGTGTCTGCTCTAGACCACACTTGAAAGTAGACTAGCCAATGTTCGCTACACCGCTGCTTATATGCCCAGGCAACGCCTCACCTCATTCATCTCCAAAGGTTGACAGGAATATTAACACTATATTTGGAGCGAGTATATTATTGGGATAATCTACTCGCTACAGAACTCCCCCTCCCAGGGGATGAAAGGAAAATACTTGATCAAGGAACTTAGCTGGTCGGTGAATTGTACGCCCTGCTCGCGTTACATAACCATCAAAGTTAACTTCCTCCTCTTCGCTGATGTCATCTAACTGGGGTCGTAGGGTGGGAGGTCGCACAGGATCGTCCGTCATCGCAGGATCAGGTTGTGGTGCGGCTGGTAACTGGGGTTGTAGGGTGAGAGGTCGTACAGGATCGTCCGTTGTCGCAGGTGGCGGTGCTGCTGGTAACTGTGGTCGAAAGAGTGAACTGCGTAGTCGGCGGATGTGTCTCTGGATTTAGCAGTGTCGCAGACGTTGAGACGAAGCCTGGAGCAGAGCAGAGAGCTGAGTGAGGCCGGAGTCGTGGAGCTCTATGTGGGAGAGCGTGGCGGCTCGATTGAGAATTGTGAGTGTCTAAACTCGGGGAGCGAGAGCATGGCGGCTCGATGCGGTCGTAGTCTGCTGTCTGCTCTGTGTCGAAGCTGTAGCGTCTTGGGTTGATTAGGACTGTACACGCCGAGTACTACATTGTTGACTGTGGAAATTGTAGTCTGGTACCAAAAGATGTAGGCAGTGTGTGGACAAGCTCGGTGTAGCAGGAGAGAAGAATGTGCATAATTGTTGCGTCCTTGGGTCGCTGGTGGAGCATTTAGATCCGGGGCGGATGGGCTCGGGCACCAGGACATTAGGAGGTAATGTAGGCACGTAGTTAGGACAACGAGGTAATCACTGCTAGAGCTGAATTGTCCTGGAGGCGACGAAGAGTCGGAAACGCAAGCTGTAAGTCCTGTACTGCACAAAGTGCTTGAGTCGGCAGAGTATCAGAATGCAGTGAACGTGTAGATGAATCTGACGAAAGAGCAGCTTTCGTGGGCGCCCCTGTAGAACAAGCAGTGCCCTGGCAGCGACGGAGAGTCGGCAGGACCGGCTGTAGATCACACATTATGTAGCTACTGATGAAACTGTCAGATGAGTAAGTAACACTCGCTGTGCAGCAAGCTGTAGTTGATGAAAATGCCGAGATGATCGCGATGTAAATCATAGCTGTGGCGAGGGTGTTGGCAGCGTTCCATGACAGGTGGATGCGGTCCACAGCCAGCAATAGCAGTAGAGGTCCAGTGAGAATCCATGTTGTAGTCCATCGTGGCTGGGTATCGTCGAAACTCTCTGGGGTCACCAATGTAACGGTTCTATTGTTACGTAAAGTATGGTGACAATAAACACAGACACTAAGATACTATATATATATTTGGTCGAATATACAGAAGTACACCGGTGATACTTTGGTGTGAGTTGAGCGCACTGAGCGTCGGTACAGTATCTCACAAGTGTCTGCTCTAGACCACACTTGAAAGTAGACTAGCCAATGTTCGCTACACCGCTGCTTATATGCCCAGGCAACACCTCACCTCATTCATCTCCAAAGGTTGACAGGAATATTAACACTATATTTGGAGCGAGTATATTATTGGGATAATCTACTCGCTACAGATCTATCCTGTTTCTGATATATGTAAACTATCTCCCAGAGGGAATAGTCTCATTCCTCTCAATGTTTGCTGATGATGGAATAATTATGAGGAGGATTAAAACCAAGGAAGATATCAAGAGGCTGCAAGATGACCTAGACAAACTAAAGGAATGGTCCAACAAATGGCTTCTAAAGTTTAACTCAAGTAAATGTAAAGTGATGAAGCTAGGTGGAGGGAGCAAGAGCCAGACACAGGGTACTGAATGGGAGATGATGTCTCACAAAACGGAGAAAGATCTAGGAGATGATATCACACTGAACCTGTCTTCTGAAGCCCATCAAAAGGATATCATCAGTGGCATATGGGAGACTAGCTAACATCAGAACTACCTTTAGAAATTTGTGTAAGGAATCATTTAGAGCCTTGTGTACCATACTTGTGAGAACAATCCTGGAGTATGCAGCACCAACATTAAGTTCATACCTTGTCAAGCATAAGACGAAGCTAGAGAAGGTTCAGGTGTACTCCATACACAGTATGCCACTAGACTAGTTCCAGAACTAAGAGGTATGAGTTACGAGGAAAGGCTGTGGTACCTCACGTCGCTGGAAGACAGAATAGTTCAGGAGACATGATTACCACATTCAATATTCTTAGGGTAATTGACAGAGTAGATAAAGACATATTAATTAATATGGGTAGGACTCTCACCAGGGAACACAGGTGGAAACGTAGTACCCAATTGAGCCACAAAGACATTAGAAAGAACGTTTTCAGTGTCAGAGTAGTTAACAGATGGAATGCATTGGGCAGTGATGTGGTGGAGGCTGACTCCATACATAGTTTCAAGTGTAGATATGATAGAGCCCAATAAGCCCAGGCAAAGAGCCTAAGCTTGACCCCCATAGGAGAGCACATCCTCTTAAATACTGTTGCAGGTGTACTATCTATAAGAATACTGCCTCGTACGTAGTGTTGCAGGTGTACCGTCTATAAGAATACTGCCTCGTACATAGTGTTGCAGGTGTACCGTCTATAAGAATACTGCCTCGTACATAGTGTTGCAGGTGTACCGTCTATAAGAATACTGCCTCGTACGTAGTGTTGCAGGTGTACCGTCTATAAGAATACTGCCTCGTACATAGTGTTGCAGGTGTACTATCTATAAGAATACTGCCTCGTACATAGTGTTGCAGGTGTACTATCTATAAGAATACTGCCTCGTACATAGTGTTGCAGGTGTACCGTCTATAAGAATACTGCCTCGTACGTAGTGTTGCAGGTGTACCGTCTATAAGAATACTGCCTCGTACATAGTGTTGCAGGTGTACCGTCTATAAGAATACTGCCTCGTACATAGTGTTGCAGGTGTACCATCTATAAGAATAAAGAAAGTTACATTGTCACTCTTAATGCAAGATTCTCAACCAATATTAAAGAAGGGTTCAGGGCCACCATTAAACAGAATACCAGGTAACCAGAATTGGTCCATAGTAACACCGATGTATTTACTGTATTTATAAATTATTATATAAATGATATTTTCTTTCATGTTTATTGTTAACAGGTGTACTACTCTTGTGAGTCAGGCTTCCGGCTCGTGGGTCCATCTGTGTTGACATGTGATGACACAGGCTGCTGGACCCCACGCATGCCACCCGTCTGTCAGTTTGCACACCATTATGAAGGTCAGTCATGTCACTCACCAGTATGATGGCCAGTCATGTCACTCACCAGTATGATGGCCGGTCATGTCACTCACTAGTATGATAGTCAGTCATGTCACTCACCAGTATGAAGGTCGGTCATGTCACTCACCAGTATGATGGCCAGTCATGTCACTCACCAGTATGATGGCCAGTCATGTCACTCACCAGTATGAAGGTCAGTCATGTCACTCACCAGTATGAAGGCCGGTCATGTCACTCACCAGTATCATGGCCGGTCATGTCACTCACCAGTATCATGGCCGGTCATGTCACTCACCAGTATCATGGCCGGTCATGTCACTCACCAGTATCATGGCCGGTCATGTCACTCACCAGTATGATGGCCAGTCATGTCACTCACCAGTATGAAGAATCAGTCATGTCACTCACCAGTATGAAGGTCGGTCATGTCACTCACCAGTATGAAGGTCAGTCATGTCACTCACCAGTTTGATGGCCTGTCATGTCACTCACCAGTATAAAGATCAATCATGTCACTCACCAGTATCATGGCCGGTCATGTCACTCACCAATTTGATGGCCGGTCATGTCACTCACCAGTATAAAGATCAATCATGTCACTCACCAGTATGAAGGCTGGTCATGTCATTCACCAGTATGATGGCCGGTCATGTCATTCACCAGTATGATGGCCGGTCATGTCACTCACCAGTATGATGGCCGGTCATGTCACTCACCAGTATAAAGATCAATCATGTCATTCACCAGTATGATGGCTGGTCATGTCACTCACCAGTATGATGGCCAGTCATGTCACTCACCAGTATGATGGCCGGTCATGTCATTCACCAGTATGATGGCCGGTCATGTCACTCACCAGTATGATGGCCGGTCATGTCACTCACCAGTATGAAGGTCAGTCATGTCACTCACCAGTATGATGGCCGGTCATGTTACTCACCAGTATGAAGGTCAGTCATGTCACTCACCAGTATGAAGGCTGGTCATGTCACTCACCAGTATGATGGCTGGTCATGTCACTCACCAGTATGATGGCCAGTCATGTCACTCACCAGTATGATGGCCAGTCATGTCACTCACCAGTATGATGGCCAGTCATGTCACTCACCAGTATGATGGTCAGTCATGTCACTCACCAGTATGAAGGGCAGTCATGTCACTCACCAGTATGATGGCCAGTCATATCACTCACCAGTATGATGGCCAGTCATGTCACTCACCAGAATGATGGCCAGTCATGTCATTTACCAGTATGATGGTCAATCATGTCACTCACCAGTATGAAGGGCAGTCATGTCACTCACCAGTATGAAGGCCGGTCATGTCACTCACCAGTATGATGGCCGGTCATGTCACTCTCCAGTATGATGGCCGGTCATTTCACTCTCCAGTATGATGGCCGGTCATGTCACTCACCAGTATGATGGCTGGTCATGTCACTCACCAGTATGATGGCCGGTCATGTCACTCACCAGTATGATGGCCGGTCATGTCACTCACCAGTATGAAGGCTAGTAATGTCATTCACTCTGGAATGGTTAATTTAACGTCTCACACGTTTCATTTTCATTTTCCGAGAAACTGTTTCCCATTTCAATCTCTGAATTTTATCCTTTAACTGCAATTTACTTTTAATGAAGTTATAGAAGAGGCCCGGTTCTGTTTTACATTTGTCCGCTATCAATTTATCAATTTCTTTCTGCCTCTCTTCTCACTGCTGTGTAGTTGTTTCTTGCTGCTTTGATTTGCTGGTATGTTTGAGGGTTTGGTCTCTTCCTATATTGATTTAATTTTTGAGTTTTAGTCTTTGGTCCTCTCACAATTTCAGTTTAACCAATCCTGTTTCCTAGTTTTGCATCTCTGTTTTGGTATAAATTTTTGTGTGCCATTATAATATATTTTACAAATCATGACATACATCTCATTTATTTCCTTGCCTAACAGCATGTTTTTCCAGTAAAATTCATGAATGAATTTTCGAAGTTCCCAATAGTGTACTAATCAGGTTTTTACTGCTCGTTCCATTTTCCGCATTCTCTTCTAGATTATAATACATTGCATCTTGATTTCCAAAAGGACATGGTCACTTTTGCCCAAGGGGAAAAGGTACTGAATATCAAACATCTCTTCTTCATTCCAGTTGAATATCAAATCCCCCCATTGAAGGGATATCCCCTTTCCCTCATTTGTGTATTCTCACACACACACGCCCCAGACTGAGGCATTTGCTTGGGAATACTCACACAATAGGTTAAAATCCTCATCACGGCTCTTACGAATTTTCTTATTGATACATCATGTTAGTGTGATCACTCTCTGTGTATTGAAAGAGGAGCATCAGAAGTAGAACATTCCTAGATGACAGAGCCAGAGTGCATCGGGGACTGTGTGAAAATCCTGGTCCGGCTTCAGTGGAGGCCTCGGGAGACCTTTGTGTGTTCAGCAGAACTCCAGGTTGCAATCCATTTACCATGTCGTGACCTGGTTGTCTGGGGTGTATTTGTGTGGCGAATACTCACCGCATAGGTTCGAATCCTCATCACGGCTTGTATGGATCTTCTCGCTGATATATCACATTAGTCTCTGCGCTACAGAAAAAATAAACATACAAAAACAGAAACCACATACAAAACACAGTCAAATCACACCATAGAACGAAAAAGCAATGTAAAAGATTTGGGTTTACTCATGTCGGAAGACCTTATCTTTAAAAACACAATGAAGTAGCCATCACAACTACAAGTAAAATGACAGGTTGGAATGCTGTTACACAATGACAGCCCCTTTCAAAGCTGGAGAAATTTCTGACCTGGAGAGTGTGCAAAGATCCTTTACTGCTAGAATCCATCCAGTAAAACATCTAAACTATTGGGACCAACTAAAATGCCTAAATCTGTATTCTCTAGAGCACAGGCAGGAGAGATACAGAATGATTTACACATGGAAAATATTAGAGGGACTGGTCCCAAATTTGCACTCAGAAATAAGATCACATGAGACCAGAAGGCATGGCAGGATGTGCAGAATACCCCCGTTGAAAAGCAGAGGTGCAGAAGGTACACTGAGAGAGAACTCTATCAACATTAGAGGCCCCAGACTATTCAACACGCTTCCATTAGACATAAGGGGCATAACTGGCCGACCCTCTCACAGTGTTCAAGAGAGAACTCAATAAGCACCTCCAAAGGATATCTGATCAACCAGGCTGTGATTCATACGTCAGGCTGCCATCAGCCACATCCAACAGCCAAGTTGACCAGTCCAGCAACCAGTAGAACTGGTCAGGGACCTGGCCTCAGAAACGTTGAGCCCAGAAATCATTGCAATGTCATTGTGAGGTTATTGTTATTACTGTGTGTGATGAAAGAGGAGCATCAGAGGTAGGACAGGATGACAGAGCCAGAGTGCACGGGGGATTGTGTGAATGTCCTGGTCCGGCTTCAGTGGGAGCCTCAGGAAACTCTCGTGTGTTCAGTAGAACTCCAGGTAACAATCCTTATCCATGTCGTGGCCTAGTTGTCTAGTATGTGTGAGTGGGAACACCCACCGCATAGGTTCGAATTCTCATCACAGCCCCTACAGATTTTCTCATTATTATTATTATTATTCGGATGCGGCTGGCAATGCTTGGGTCGTAGGTTCATGCCACCTCATAGCCCTAGTGGATTTTTCATTATTATTATTATTACTGTATTATTATTATTATAATTATTATTATTATTTTTATTATCATCATTATTGAGAAAATCAGTAGAAGCCATGGGAAGGATTCAAACCTATGTGCTGTGTTCTCCCTGGCAACACTCTAGACCACTACACCACAACATGCTGTAGTGGCATTTGCACTACACCATTGGCATTAGCAGCATTGCAGTGGCAATGCAACCCAGTATTCAACTGAATCCTCTAGGGTTCCTGAGGCTTCCACTGAAACCTAATGAGGGTTTCACACAACACCCCCCCCCCCCTCTGGCTTGTAGTTTAGGAGTTCTGTTATTGCTGTTATTATTCAAATTGTTGTGAATGTTATAGATTTCCTTCTGTATTTTATAGTATGAATTTTCATTGACTAAAATATTAGGTAAAGATTTCTTACAGAATCGTTAATATACTTTACACTTATTGTTTCAGATGGTGTTGAGAGTGAGAAGTCTGTCCTGGACATGCATACCATCCTTGTGGCGACCACAGGCAGTGTTATTGGTATTTTGCTGATTGTCCTCGCTCTTATTTGTGAGTATTCTTGCATTTTGTATTATGTCAGCCCTGTAATCACAGTACTGTATACATGTACTGGTACTCCTAGTATGTTATGTATTGTATACATGTACTGGTACTCCTAGTATGTTATGTATTGTATACATGTACTGGTACTCCTAGTATGTTATGTACTGTATACATGTACTGGTACTCCTAGTATGTTATGTACTGTATACATGTACTGGTACTCCTAGTATGTTATGTACTGTACACATGTACTGGTACTCCTAGTATGTTATGTACTGTATACATGTACTGGTACTCCTAGTATGTTATGTACTGTATACATGTACTGGTACTCCTAGTATGTTATGTACTGTATACATGTAGTGGTACTCCTAGTATGTTATGTACTGTATACATGTACTGGTACTCCTAGTATGTTATGTACTGTATACATGTACTGGTACTCCTAGTATGTTATGTACTGTATACTTTTCTGTGGGGAAGTTACCCCTTGTGGCTCCCTGAAATGGCTCCGAACTATTAGGTCACATCAGCCATCGAGTTTTGTTTGGATTACTTGGGGACCAGAGCCAGAATCTGGCCCCGCTCAGGGGCATACCGTGCAGGTGACACTCCGCCAACTTACCAGGAAAGCATCCAGAAAGTTGGCGAACCAATACAGACCAGTGCTGGGTTCAGAGAGACTGAAGCCTCAAAGCTGCCATATGAACTCCCCTGACAATTTGATCAAATGATTGAATCTCTCGGAACTATGCCAAGCTCATTAGTACTATTTCCACTGCCACTTGAGGGTAGGAATAACTCTTAGTTCCCTCCAGCCCTTTAAAAGTCTTTACGCTGATGTGGACAAATGTGGAGGTCCACTGTATTGCTCCTGGGTCATCAGTATGCCTTGCTTCTAAGCTAAGCTTTATAATACCCTGTGACCTTCCCCAGTGCCTAGGTGCCTTTCTTCCTCTTCTTGCAGCTCTGAAATGTCTGAGGGTTTCAGGGTCGGGGTAGGGTTTCAGGGTCGGGGTAGGGTTTAGCTCGGGATGTAGCTAGGCTGTCTCCGGGGGTGGCTCCTTGTAAGAGAGAGATCCTTATGAAGGGAGAAATAGCAGTGTTAAATGTTGAAAAACGATCTGGAACTTGTACAATTGAAATCCCCGCCAGTACAATAGGCAGTTCTGCGCATGTGCAGAGCACTGTCTTAACAGGAAAACATCATCCCCGGAACAGGGTAACAGCAATGTAAATACTGTAATGCTTAAAAAACTTATTCAGCATGGAAAAATATATAGAAACAACAGTGTTAAATGTAGAAAAACAGCCTGGAACATTATAAGACATATAAATAAACTATTGGGAAATATGTTTGAAACACTGGTGTATGTATGAACATTATTGGAACCGGGCAGTTAGAGAGAGAGAGATGTGGGAGCTCTCTCAGTCACTTGGTGTGTGGACTGTGGAGCAGTAGGAAGGAGAGCTCTTCGTCACGTGTGTGACTTGTGATGCTCTCCTCCAATAACCATAAGTGCATTGTATCATATTATAATGGTGCCCCTTCTTTGTATAAGTTAGGGCTAGGAAGTCTTAAAATTAAGGTTATTCATAGAACCCTGTGTGTAGGTGGTGGTTTGTGTTATTAATTCATTCAGTCAGATCTCTGTGACATGTAATCTTATCCCCATCTACTTTGTCCATCCTTTGTTGTCTTGTTGTCAGAACCATGTATTGATAAAACCTGGAAGAACTGTTACAGGAAGCTGACGTGTAGTCACCGAATATAAGCAAGCATAACGGAAATAGCCGACAGTACAATTTCCACAGTCAAGAATGTAGCACTCGGCGCATGCAGTTCTAATCGACCCCAAGATGCTACAAACCCATGCCCCTGTGTAGTCACCCAGGAGGAGTGGAGTATAGCGACCTTAAGTCCCAGTTTGTGAAGACTTTACCTGTTTTGTGTGGATCAATTTGTCAATTCACCCCCTAAGGCTTGTGTTTGCTTGAAGGGATCCCCCTTGTCCTTAACAATCCTGTGTTTAAGCCAAGTAACCGCCCCTTCCCCTCCATCTAGTCAGTATAAGATAATCTTGTGTTAAATAAAACCCTTTGTAAAATTGTACCCCAAGGTGCATTTCTGGTCCCCTATAGAATAGAGTTGAATGTTGCTACTATGGATATAGCATATATATGCTAATATATATATATATATATATATATATATGTATGTATGTATGTATGTATGTATGTATGTATGTATGTATGTATGTATGTATGTATGTATGTATGTATGTATGTATGTATGTATGTATGTATGTATATGTATACTGGCAGCAGATTTTCTTTTATACATGTCTCATTGAATACATGACATTTTTTTATACATACATACATACATTTTTTTTTTTTTAAAGAGCGCTGTTTGTCGACATAATTGTATTTGTGCTGCTTTTTCATCTATGTTTTCATTTCTTGTTTTCATTCTACTCATTATGCTCAATTAGTATTAAGCTTGTCATTTAAGTTTATCATGCCCGAAACGCTTTGCGTAATAGTGGCTTTAGGCATTGTATGTACTAGCTCTACCTATAAGTCAACCAATCTTTGTAAAAATTTATTGTATGTATGTACCTTACCTAAATAAACATTTTATTTTATTTATTTTTATTTTATTTTTTATCCATGTCTCATTGAATATGACAGCATATTCTATATTAACTATTTTCTGGTTTAGGGCTTCTATCCCTGCAACTAGTGCTCTTGCATCAGGGTTTAGTTGGAAGAGGAGTTCTCCAAATGTCATGTTAGTTTTCAAGGTGAAGAATATATGTATATATTTATATATTTGATCTTCTTGTGGCTCGGATCACAACTTTATTGACGTTCAGACATGCATAGCCAATAGACCTGTGCAGCCAGTCTCAAATCCAAGACAAGGAGAATTCAGCAAATTCAATTTTAATATGAAATGAATCACCTGGGAACATATAGACCAAGACCTTGCAGAAATAGGCTAGGAAAGACAGCTAGATAATACAAACTTAAACCAGTGCTTTGAGAAAATAGGCTCAGTAGCTCTAGAAATATGTGCAAGTCTCATAGCACTAAGGAGAAAGAGAAAAGATGCAAACTGGAACAAGAATGCCATTTGGCATTCCCTCTATAGGCGAAGAAAATAAATCGCAGAACATCTGAAAGGCCCAACTCTATCCCAGCAACAACAAAGAAGTCTATGTAAAGAATTAGAAACAATCAAGTTAAAGACAGGGATCATATAAAATCCAGGAGAGGCAGAGAGAGCAAAAGGTCATAAGTGAAGTAGAGAAGAAGCCAAAATACTTTTTCTCCTACGCAAAATCTAGAACAAAACTACATCTTGCATTAGGCCTTTCCACAAGGATGATGGAATTTTACAGATGACAACAAAGAAACGAGTGAAATATTGAGGCTTCAGTACGAGTCTGTTTTCAGTGAACTCCTGAACACATTGAAGTTCATTGATCCAAACAATTCTTTATGAATGTGATACCACCATCGAACCATATATCAGATGTCGCTCTAATCTCTGGACTTTGAAGTAGCTATAGAGAGCATGCCCATGCACTCTGCACCAGGCCCAGACTCCTGGAATTCTATATTCATCAAGAAGTGCAAAAAAGAAAAAACAGGCCCTAAACAACTTTTGGAAACAGAGCCGAGATACTGGTATTATTCCCGACATACTGTACTTAAAACAGCAAGAATCACACAACTTCACAAAGAAGGTAGCACAGCAGATACAACAAATTATAGACACTTAGCTCTAACATCATAAAATCTTTGACAGAGTGCTAAGAAGTAAGGTCACAAAACACATTGAATCAGTGTCAACATAACCCTGGGCAACATGGTTGGGGGATGGGAAGTACTAACAAGTTTGTGCTAGCTCTGAGAGATTTGATAGTTTGTTTGCATTGTCGGGGGAGTTTGTTTTGTGGTTTTGAAACTTCAGTCTATTTGAACCCAGCAGTGGTCTGTATTGGTTTGCTGATGTTCTAGATGCTTTCTGTTCCTCTGTGATGAGGCCAGGTTCTGCCTATAATCCCTGGTAATTCAAACAGAACTCCTCGGCTGATGTGATCTAGTAGTTGGGAGCCATCTTGGCAAGATAGCTTCAGGGAGCCACCAGGGCTCGCCTAGAAAAAGGCATTTCATTACATTTGATGCTGGTTTTCTGTGCTCATGTGTTCTTTATACAAGTAGTCACTTTATAATTTATAAACATAAAAGTGATAAAACCAATTTATTTTAGTGTATCAGCGAGCTGTAAGTCCTAAGTTGGTTCGACTGCATAACAGCGGAAGTGGAAACGATCTGCCACCTGTTCAGCATAATTGTTCCCCTAATGCCTCCCAACCACAGCCAGAGCACGACCCTGACAGAGTTGCCCTCATTGCCTTCCCTGATGAGGTCAGTGTTGGTCTCCAGTGCTTGACAATATTGTCGTGTTATGTAAACATGAATAATAATGGTATTAGCAGTAAATAAGATGTATTATATAGAAACAGAAGAATTAGTAGATTGATGTATAGTATATAGACTGTTTAACCACCGTGCTGTGCAGCCTTAAAATATGACATTCCCGCTGTGCGCCAAAAATAAATTCTTTGCAAAAAATAATTTTCTTTTCTTATATTATTAAAATGCAGTCTCTGATCACGGGAAACTAAAAACAAAAATATTGTATGTGACATACTTTAAACGTGATGGAGCTGAGAAGTTGAGCAAATTATGGGTGCTGAGTGATGGAGCGCTCGGGGGTCACTCGACCCCGCCACCCCGTGGGGCGGCAGTTGCCGCAATTATAATTTTTCACAATTATTTTGATGTTTCTCATTTGTTTCTTCTCTGGGTTTTTGCTGTAATATTATTCAAAAGTGTGTAAGTTGTAGAATTTATATAGTTCAATGTGTGGAACATCGCTATGCTCAAAATTATGGGGCTCATATGTGTGACTTGTATATTATATTCTATGATCAATCAGTGTTTTCGTTGTTACTGTATTACGCTATATACACACGTTGTATATACCTATATACATATATGTATATACATATGTGTTCACCATAACGAACCACAAAGTTGGTATGGTGTGTCAAAACAACAAGACTGGCCGCCACACAGCAGCTAGCAGACGCCATCTCCCTCCATCCTTCAACACCTCACTCTTCAACATTCCTCCTTCCACCATACTGTTATTGTTTTTACTACACTATTTACACATTATATATAAGTATCTACATGTTTTGTTGACCACAACTGTACAATTAAGCTGGTATGATATCCAAACAACATAGTGGCCACAAAAAACTGCATGACAAGTGGCACACCAGCTAGCAGACGACAGGCTCTCTCACTCCCTCACCAAAATGGCTCCTTCCAACATACTCCTTTTGCTGTTATTACACTATATACACATGTTTTATACAATGGAACCTTCATTTGGAATCCTACTCCGTTCCTAGAGACACGTCGTACACCAAAAATTTGTTAATCAAAACAAATTTTCCCATAAGAAATAATATAAATTGAATTAATCCGTTCCACACCCCCAAAAATATTAACTTAAAAAACACATTTTATACCGAATACCACTCATTTTGGACTATACAGTATGTATATCTTATCTTTAATGAGGACTCTTGTTGGTGTATGGAAGACAGTGAGGAGGAGGGGGGGGGGGAGGAGAGGTGTTAGTGTTTGGAAGGGGAGTCCCCTTCCATTATAACATCAGGCAGTGATGACTTCTCTGGGGTACTCTCTCTCTCCTACGTTTGGGCAGGCATACCACTAGGACCTGGTTGTGGCTCACTGCTTGTTTGTCTCACTAAAAACCTGTATATTGACACTTGTTATTCCCTTCGGTGTAACACTTGTCTGAAGCGAGACATCATATTGTCATTAAAAAGGTTAACACAACGGTCTGCTACAGCTTGATTTGGATGACACTTTTCAGCAAAACTTTGCAATTCTTCCCATACTGCACACATTTTCTTAATAAATGAGGAAGGGACATCCTCTACTCTACATCAACAACCCTCATTCTATTTTCATGTTTACGAATGATTTCTTGTTTTTTCTATATCGTCATCCTCACAACTATTTTCTTAGGTTGAACTTTACCACTGACTTTCTTGGGACTCATTTCATGATATATAATAAGACCTTTTATGTTAAAAAAACAAAAATGCACGCAAAACAATGAAATTCTTTACAAAGGAATTCAAGCGCGGTCGCGGTCGTCACTATGCAGGATACACTGGTAAACAAAATGAGGAGTGCCTCGCCCCACGTCCCAAGCACCACACGCTCGTTTAACCCATACGCGTATCAACAGACATAGTCTTTCAAGTAAAACGTCGTACACCAATTCAAATTTTACGACAAATTTTACGTTATATACCAACAAAATTCGTACTCTAGGGCAGTCGTACACCAAGGTACCACTCTATAAGTATCTACATTTGTGTTCACCATAGTGAACCACTAAGCTGGTATGGTGAATCCAAACAAGAGTGGCTGCCACACACCAGCCAGCTACTGCTACCTCCCTCCTCGCCAAAATTCTTTCCTCCTATGCACATCTCTAATTATCAACACAATCCTGTTATCAGAATCCTGGTCACTAAATCCTATAAACCAATAATTTTCCACAAGTTTATTTTGTAAAGGAACATGAGAAGTTGTTTCAAGATTCTTAGATGGACAAACAATGGCAGTGTGCTGTAGCTAGCACTGTGAACATCTTATAGCATTGTGTTCACTGATATCTGAACATTCTACACAGTCTTTATCATAGTCAGGCTCTTCTGTATTACTATCATGGGTAAATAATACCAGTTACATATATACTTTGACATTTTTAGGCGATGCTGTGGTCACAGCATCGCTGTGAATTTCAGTCAAGAAATCGAGGCCAGAGATGACGACTGCCCCAGATCGCATCAGCCAGTAAACTGAAGGTGTGAGTAGCTGGCATGGAGGAGTCCAGAGCTCCCCCCACCCCTCCTGGGGAGGGGAGGGCTGTGCAGACAAGTGGCACATCAGCGATGTATGACATTTGCTTGTTTCCCTGAGTGTTGGGGGAGTTCTGTCTCTGTTCAGTCTTGGTTTTTTTTTTCTTTTTCTTATAATTTTCTTACCAAGTGGAGTTTGTTTTGTAATGCCTACCTTTCTGGGTGCCTAACCCTGGTCGATGGCAGACATGGAATGCTCCCAAACACATGGGAGGTTTCCATAGGCCATTACTCCCTGTGCCTCTCTGAGGGGGCCAGGTTCTGGCTCGTGGTCCCTGGTAGGTTGAACTCCAATTGACTGATGCCCCAGACTAATATATCACATATCAGGCCGATGGCTCCAGGGAGCCTCCAGGGCTCACCCAGAAAATGGTGTTTCATTACATTCAACACTGGTTTTCTTTGATCAGGTGACGTCTGCTGAGGCGTTGTCTGCTCGTATCACATGCTCCATGCTGTGATTTGATTTCATCACAACATCAACCAGAACTGCTTATTGATTTTTTATGATGCATGAAAAGTTGATAGATATATACGCGATGTGTGCATTTAGTGTAATACGGTAATAGCAAAAACTGTGTTTTCTTGTTCAAAGAATATAATATTTGAACTCATATTAGAACGTGACACGAATGCTGTATATCTGTTAGTATCAATATTCTACACATTCTATGATACAAATAATATTATTGACAGTGCTTTGCATAAATACACTTGAAAAAAAAAATGATAAAAACATTTACAATGTGAAAAAAATATGATATATTCAATATGCACTGTTACAATTTAATGTAAACAATGCTGGACTAGGCTGAACTCTGTTAACCAGTTACAGTGGAACCTCGATTAACGAGTGGCTCTATTAACGAGTTTTTCCAGTAACGAGCAAGCCACTCGCAGCAAATTTGTCTCTATTGACGAGCTCGCCTCTATTAACGAGCAAAACCACATGGTGCTTCCTAGCATCTCGCGGGTTCTCGCAAATTCTCGGACGCCTCCGATGCCAGTGTTGTTGTTGTATCGCACACAACAGGCATCCCTCTGGATTTATTTGCGCTTTTCTTTGGGTTTTTAGTGGTTTTGCAACTACAATTTGTAACACACGATGTCTCCAAAGAAGCTGCTTGCTAAAGATAGTGTTGTCAAGAGGTAGAAAGTCACAATTACTGTGGATTTAAAGAAGGAAATTATAGCAAAGCATGAATGTGGTGTCTGTGTGACTGATCTCATAAGGGAGTATGGCAGGTCCTCATCAACAATTTACACCATTAGTAAGGGAATGAGGAGGTAAGGGAGGATGCTGCCTCTTCCACTGAGATCAGGGAAGTGTTTGGAATGTTTGAAAAGGTGAACGCATTCTGGGAAAAGCTGCCCTGATAAAGCAGTGACAACCCGGTGTGTGAAAATGTTTAATTAATTTATCACTTTGTGATAACACTTTATGAAAGTGTTATCACTTTCGCAGGTATATGTCGCTTGAACGTGACACTTTTTTCTCTTGAATGCACCCAAACACCGCGCTCAAGCGTCATTTGAGCAAATATTTCTATAAAATCCAATTCTTATCCGATCGACTTGGGATTGTATACATGTTTGCCATGAAATATCCGTTTTCTTTAATAACCACATTGCCTATTTGAGAAAACGGCATTGTATTGTATCTTCGTGGTAAGACGTGGTAAGATATTGTTGACACAACGAGTGTAATCGACGTAGTTTTTTATTTGGTGCTGGTCTAACGCATCCTTGTGTGACATTTGAAATGAAATTTGGGTGAAATTCCCAAGAAGAGAGAGCCCGCCTGACTCAGAGGTGGATTCTCCTTCCACACCATAACCCCTCTCCTCCTTCCCACCTCCCCATCGTCTCCCTCAAGCCAGCAATGACTCTTCATAAGGTAAAGTAAATATTAAAACACTACAACAAAACATTTATATTTACATGTGCAGTATTATATTTACATAAAAAAAAGTCATACAAGAATGAATGTTTTTGGGAGTGGAACAGATTAAATTTATTTCCTTTATTTTAAATGGGGAAATTTGTTTCTTAAGATGAGTTTTCCAGGTAACGAGCTCAGTGCCAGAACGGATTAAACTCGTTAATAGAGGTTCCACTGTATAAGGTTATTACACTCACCAGAAATGCTTAGTTTTTTTTTTTTTTTAGTTCATTTATTATGCACCCCATACCCATCTTGTGGGCGGTAGTGGAAAGGGTTACAGAGGCACATAATGGGCTCAGGGACTGAACCCCACAATTCATTTAGCTAAGCAAGTTACAATCTTGATGAGCTAGTTACAAAATTCAATATAAGTCATCACATCAACAATGGGTTCGAGATCGACCTCAAGTACAGGTTCTAAATTAAGCAACTGACATATGTGGAGAGCTAGTGTCAAAATTGATATGTTTGTCCTGCACACCGCCCCCCATCCAGTGGGCAGCGGTGGATAAGTTACAATCACTTAGTTGTTATCTACAGTTAGCAAACTGGGGATATTTGGCTAAAATTTCTGGTAGCAGATCATTTTGGATGAAATATTGACACATCGCTGGAACATTGGTTATAGAATTGTCTCTAAATTCACGTATCTTTTCGCACTCCATCACATAGTGACGGAGGGTGTGCGAATAATTTTGTTGACACAGTTTATATTTGGTCAGGTCTACATCAGCAGATAATGCTTAGTAGTTCGTAATGGTACATAAAAACAAATAGTTACATGAAACGTGTGTGTGTGTGTGTGTATATGTTTATATAGGGTAACAGTAACAGTAAATAACAGTAAAAACACTGTTTTATTGTTCTAAGAATATGATATAAATTACTCAACCCATAAATTACTCAACTTCTCTGCTCCATTACAGCTAAAGTATGTTGCATACAACTTTTTATATTTTTGTACTTTCCCATGATCAGGGAACACATTCTAACAATATCAGAAAGGAAAAAAAAATTGTTGCAAATAATTTTTTCTTGCGCACCACAAGAGGGTCTCGCGTGAAGCGGGCACAGTACCGGGGTTAAGAACTGATTTGAAGATTATACAAGTTCATTACATTTCACTAGGGTGTGCCACCCACATATGAAGAGGCAGTAAGACACAGACCAGCAATCATGTTCGAGCCTCACGGAGGAAACGCGGGAAGCCGTTACACTCCTCACAATCACCGAAGTAGAGGACACAGAGTGGTGGTGCCCGGTGTGAGACGATCACGCCATAGAGACAACCCAGATAACATCTCCTATCAATCTATTGGATCAGCGCGCCAATCTTCCAGGTGAGATGGAGAGTTTATTTGTTCTGTATTTCTGTTTTGTGACGTTGGTCAGGGTAGACCGGATGTCCTAAGTGCTGTAGGTCAGGGTAGACCAGATGTCCTACGTGCTGCTTGGACTCACTCGCTCACTAATTGTGGCACTCTTTTGGTTTACTTTGCAAATATGTCTAGGTTGAACTAGCTGGAGTTTTAACAGAAACACTTTTGAGAGAGATTTTGAATAAATGATGGAAAGTATGGTGAAGGCTACCCGAGTAAAGGGCCACGTTTGGTAACGGTATATGGTCCATGTGTATAACAATAAACATGGTGGTAAGCCTTGAGGAGATGGTCACTTTACAATCAGAAGGAATGCAAAAAGGAAACAGTTATAAGGAATGTGAATAGTGTAGTGTAAGGTCACCAGTCTTCAACCATTCAAGCCAATAATTGACAATATTTACTATTTGTGTCAAATATTTGTGCCTGCAGGACTGAGCTGTTAGCTCTTGAACTCCGCTTTTCTAACCGTCTGTTGTACAATGTACTGACTCCCGACCAATTTTTCTCCGTTATGTCTACTACTGTACATATATTTCTCTCTAACACATGCACGTACAAATCCCCAGGATATGCCCTGCAGCAGCTGTTACTCCCTGGCACCTAACTACTGCTAGGTGAACAGTTGCATCAGATGAAAGAAACTATGCCCACTTCTCAGGCTTATGTGACTCTCTTGTCCTGACTTCATGGCCCTTTCTTTGAAATAGAAGGAAATCTAATATAGAATTATATATATACAGTATATATAAACTACAGGGGCTTTCTGTGGGGAGCCCCTCTGGCTCCCTGGATCTATTGGACTGATATATGCAATATTAGTCTGGGGCATCAGTCAAATGGAGTTCAGCCTACCGGGGACCACGAGCCAGAACCTGGCCCCCTCAGAGAGGCACAGGGAGAAATGGCCTATGGACCCCGTCCCCCCCCCCCCCCATGTGTTTAGGAGTATTCCATGTCTGCCATCGACTGGGGTTAGGCACCCAGAAAGGTAGGCATAACAAAACAAACCCCACTTAGTACGAAAATTGCAACCGAAGACCAAACAGAGAGGCAAAACTCTCCCAACCTAAAGAAACAAGCAAAGGTCATACACCGCCACCGCCCCACTTGTCCACGCAGCCCTCCCCTTCCCGGGAGAGGAACAGGAGAGCCTCGGACCCTCCACGCCGAATACTCACACCTCCAGTTCGTTGGCTGATGCGTTCTGGGATGGTCGTTGACTCTGGCCTCGATTTCTTGGCAGTATTGTGCCTTAATGGTGTATCCTGCTGGTTGTGGTGTGGTGGCCAGGTGAAATTAGGGTACTGGGGCTGCATGCGCTTAGGGCTGCCTTCCCTAAGCCCCTTGTAAGTACTACCCTGGGTTCTAGGTTTACCTTCCAAGGCAACTGAAATGGTAAAATATTCTCGCATTTAGTACGGGCTGTATTGAGGCAGCAGCTGGGAGCCAGGTGGTGCAGCAGCGGGGAGCCAGGTGGGGCAGCAGCTGGGAGCCAGGTGGGGCAGCAGCTGGGAGCCAGGTGGGGCAGCAGTCAGCTGGGCACTCAGGCCAGACTTGGAGGGGTCTCACTCAACACTCCTGACACTCCCATAGAGGCTAGCTGTCCTCCTAACCCCCCTAATACATCCCCTCACCACTGACACACATTTATTATGAATTCTTCATTTTGACTATGGAATACGATAGAACGGTGTTACAAACAACTGAAATGGTAACATTTTCTCAGCTAATTTGTTGACAAAAGCAGACAGTGAGTGAAACATCGAGGTACTCACCTAATTGTGCTTGCGGGGGTTGAGCTCTGGCTCTTTGGTCCTGCCTCTCAACCGTCAATCAACAGGTGTACAGGTTCCTGAGCCTATTGGGCTCTATCATATCTACACTTGAAACTGTGTATGGAGTCAGCCTCCACCACATCACTTCCTAATGCTTCATGTCCCCCCTAACTCTTCTGTCTTCCAGCGAAGTGAGGTTTAATTCCCGTAGCCTCTCCTCGTAGCTCATACCTCTTATCTCGGGTACTAGTCTGGTGGCAAACCTTTGAACTTTTTCCAGTTTGGTCTTATCCTTGACTAGATATGGACTCCATACTGGGGCCGCATACTCCAGGATTGACCTGACATATGTGGTATACAAAGTTCTGAATGATTCCTTACACAAGTTTCTGAATGCCGTTCTTATGTTGGCCAGCCTGGCATATGCCGCTGATGTTATCCTCTTGATATTGGGCTGCAGGGGACAGGTCTGGCATGATGTCAACCCCCAGGTCTTTCTCTCTCTCTGACTCATGAAGGATTTCATCTCCCAGATGATACCTAGTATCTGGCCTCCTGCTCCCTACGCCTATCTTCATTACATTACATCCGTACACAATCTACTGCCCCCACCATCATATCACATTTATCCACCAAGCGCATGTTGATGTTATTGTCCAAGACACAATCTGGCTTATAGATTAGTTCTCTGGTGGTTCTGTTCACCTTGCCACTGTCCACCATTGTACCATTGTGAATGGTGGTCAACATGTTCACTTCACGCCTGTCTTTCCACTACACTGAAAGTATTCCACCTGTTTTTCTAAGCTCGCAATCACCAACCTGCATAGCAGTGTGAAACACTGGCATTTCCCTTCGTTTTGCCTTCACTGTGCCACACACTCCAGTTCCATTATCAAGCAAGAACCTAGTTAGCAAGGGACTGGTTTAATAGTTATCTGTGTATAATATGTGGCCCTTGTTCAGATATGGTGCAAGCAGTGACTTCACAACACTACCTGAGAAGCCATGTTGGTCATTAGCAGGAATGTCTACATTTGTACCCGTATACATTATCATGTGTAACACAATTCCTGTTTCACAGTCACAGAGTACAAAGAATTTCAATCCAAATCGGTGGCGTTTGGAGGGAATATACTGCTTGAAGGCAAGACGTCCTTTGAAAAGCACAAGGGATTTGTCAATCACAAGCTTCTGAGCTGGTACGTAGAAATCCCTGTACTTTCCGATAAGTTCATTCAGGACGTGCCTTACCTTCCAAAGTCTATCATCTTCAGTCTGGTCTTCATCATTTGCAAAGTGAAGACACCTGAGGATTATTGCAAATCTGTCTCGAGACATATATTTGCCAAACATCGGTGTTGGAACAGTATGGTCTTTTCTCTAATAATGGTCGAGTACGTGTTTGACACAATGTTTCATCAACATACACAGTGCCAAAAACACATACATTTCAACTACAGTCGAATCTTTCTATCACTGCAAACGTGAATAATTGGATAACTCCTGCTCATTAATGAGATCACTCGCATATTTGTTCGTCTCATGAACAAGATGTTCCATTAGCGGCTCATCAAAATATGCAGTAAAATAGTCCATTTCACACATATCTGCACCTTTATCAGGGAAAATGTCTGTAATTCCAACATCCAAATTATCAAAAACAGGAATTTGTGGAACAAAATCTGTCCCATCACTCCACACAAAAACACTGGGTGTCTTTCGAGAGCAAATAGCGGCACCACGGCGAGGAAACCGTGGACCAGGAGCTGAAGCAGGTCTAGGAACAGTAGGGGCGGGCAGGGACGGTGATGGAAAATTCCTCGATGTTGAGGGTCTTTGTTCATGTGGTGCCATGCGGTGCATCATGACTTGACCAGATGCTGCTGACGCGACAAATTGTCGCTTGGCAACACCACATACTCCTCCACTTGCACTTGCGAAACTGTTTTCCGATTCTAAGTCACTAAAAACGGAAAATGATTCACTTTCTTCAGAATCGTCAAGCAAAACATCAATATCTTGCAAGGGAGCACATGAACTGTGTGGTCTTGCACAAATTGGGGGTCGAGTGAGGGCGAGGAGGCATGGGGTGAGATGCTAGGCCTAGCCCTGGTGGAGCCAGCGTGTTCACACTCGTCGTCAGTCGTATCCACCTCTGAGGGCTGTGTGTAGTCATGATCAAAGTCTGAATCGTCAATACCAGACTCATCACCATCCGGGAACAAATTACGATTAATTTCGTCCTCGGTCAGAGGTCGTGAGGAACGCCTCGCTGAGCGGGGTCGGTCATTGGAACTTGATGCGCTCGCCATGGTGTCTGCAGGGGTAACTGAGGTCTGTACACAAAGGGGACCCACGCTGGATTTTTTTCCCAGGCGGGGTTTGTTTATGGTCGGTTGAGGCTCGCCGATGACTACCCCTATCCCACGCGGGGCATTTAAATTATAGCTCTAGACACGAAATCATATATAAATGATATGCGTGGTTTCGGTTTTGTCACTGATATCATATATATATGATATGAGCGGTTTGAGGGTTAATAATGTAGAGTGCACACTATCTTTCTTGGGTGCATTTACAAAATCAACTGATAGATCCCAGTTATCCCATGGAGTAATTGGATGATTAATCATTAATTGAGTTGGGTACATATTTAATATTTTGATGGAGTTGGCTGGCTACCTTGTAGAACCAAAATACATAATCAGATTTCGTTGTTCTTCTATAGACCTCAGGTGAGTGCAGCATATTAGAAAGTTTAGCTTGAAACTTCATGTGTTGTCTAGATCTACTCAATGCCTTCATGCCAAAAACTGTGCTAATAGACAAAATTCTCTAACTTATGGTAGGTAATTTTAACTCTGCTCTCATATTAACTATTCTCGTGGACTTTGGAGCCCAAGGATGAGACGCATAGCTTCATTTTGCAAGGTTTCAAGAGATTTCAGCTCTTTCTCTGTATCACAACAAGTTTATAGTGCTAAACAAGAATTTAATTTTCAATAAGAACAACTGTATTGTATTTGATGTAAATACCAATTTGAGGTAATTGTATAAAATGTTGCATTGCAGTACATCACGCTCAATGAGCATGCGCAGCTGGTCAGCTTGTGACAGCCTGGGCTCAACTGATACTGTGGCAGTGAGTGACTCCACTAATGTGACAGTCGACACCCAGAGCTCGGGTGGAGCCAGCAGTGGTACCTCACAAGCTCCCTCGTGTCGTGCCTTGGCTGGCTCCCTGGCATCATTTGACACGTCTTCTCTGGTTAATAATGAGGGTATGTTCAAAAGCACATAAAATGGTGAGTTTGAATTATGTGGGAAATAATAATTACCGGTAATCTTCTTTGAAATGCCTCCTAGCATTTTGTAGTGACAAACCCAACACAGAATGGATTACCTTATTCTGGGGTTTGAGTGATGGGCACTGAGGGGTATGTAATTTCTAGTTTTTATTTTTGTGAATCTAAATGTTGTATTTTATTAGTTAAAATATCATTTATATTTTTGTAATATTAATTTTTAAATTTCATTAACTAGTGTTTGCAAGTATGTTTAGTTCTTATAAGAGAATGCTTGTGTATGTTTAAAGTAGCTTTCCCCATGCCTATTTCACGAGGGTAGCATCCCCACCCCACCTTCCTTGAGAGGGGATTCAAACCTACCTGACTGTGTGTGTGTTGAGGAGTGAGTGAGGTATCCATCTCACTTGTAACGTTGTTTACCTCAGTTTCTCCATGTGGCCGAGTACAGTAGTCGATCCGGTAAGTTTATAAATTTATTCTGTGTTGCATTATGTCCCATTTCCTGTGTTTTTAAAATAAATGTAAAGCATGAATCTTGCTGATTTGTTTGAGTCCTGAAGTTCAAAATAGTTGTGCTATTCACATCGTGTTGTTCCCCCTCACATATGAAGTGTGTTTCTGGGGAGCCCCTTGTGCCTCCCTGAAGCTCTAACTAACATGACCCATAACTACACCATCACATCACCTGTAGAGATGAGTTTGGCCTGCTGGCGACCACAGCCAGGACTGTGCCCCCCCTCACTGATTTACAGGAAGCTGGTGACACTCCGTCACCTCACTGAGGAAGGCATCCAGAAGGTCAGTAAACCAATACAGAAATATAGACAACTGCTAGGCTCAGAGAAACTGAAGCCTCACAACCTGCCAAATGAACTTCCCCCAACAATCTAAACAATGATAGAAAATTTCTCAAAGTAAGTGAGATCCTATCTCAGGAGATAGGTAGAGTGCCCGGTCAGCATTCAATCCCTGACCGTCTTAAGTGGTTGGGCACCATCCCTTCCTCCCTTCCCAAATCCTTATCCTGAACCCTTCCAAGTGCTATATAGTCAGGTTGCTGCGGCTCACACTGCCTACTGGCTCAAGCCCGTAGCTCCTCAGCTAATGTGATGCTTTCCACATGTCTGCAGTAGGGCTCCAGGTCATTAGTAGCGGTGGCCGGCCCCGGTGCTTTTCAGCCAAGTGCTCCTCTGGACTTTTTCCTGTGTAGTTTATTTTGCATACTGTTGTGTAGTATGACTTTTAGTATGCTTAGAGCTGCATAGGCTGAGGGTTCCCTTCTCTAGGTGCTCTCTAGCATTGCTCCCTCAACTGACAGAGGTCCCTTCTCTGGTGTGTTTGGCACTTAGCTTCCTTAGAAGTCCTTCCTGCTTGGGGGGTGGCCCTTGCCTTAGGTGAGTCAGGGATCTAGTTTACCCTCTGTTTTAACCCTGGTTGGTACCAAGTGTTGGCTGATGGGATGCACCGGTGGCTGACCAGCTTGTATATGTGACACACTGAAGTCGGCTTTCACGGTTGTGTAGCCCAGGCTGTATTAGTATACTTTTAGGTCAGGTGTAGCATTCCCAGTGCCTGGTTGACTACCTGTTGACTACTTGTTGAAGATTCCAGGGATCAATATTACTGTGGCCCAGTCTCTGACTAGGCCTCCTGGTTGCTAATCTGATCTAAAAGGCTGTTTGATTTGGCTGGTCACAGGATGGTTGATCAGGTATTCCTTTCATGGTTGATCAGGTATTCTTTGAAAGTTCTTGTCGAAGAACACTGAACACTGAAGTTTGAAGAACACTATGAACACTGCGAGAAGTTGGCCAGTTATGCCTGGTTTATGTAGGGAAAAGTGCTGAAAAGTCTTGGGCCTTTGATGTTGATAAAGTTTTCTCTCAGTGTGCAACAAGTACGCTGAGAGAGCCACACCACTCCTGGTTGTGGTGTATTGTTTCACCCTTCAGGCCCTGGAATACCCTGTGGGTTTGGTTGGCCTAAGGATATTCCCTCCAAACCCCTTTTTGCCTCTTGCGAATTTGAGGGTTGTTCCTCGTCTGTGTCACAGGGTGGAGTCAACTGTTTATGCCTCTGCCATGAAACGTGTTGTGTCAGAGACACCTAGGACCTGGAGTCTTGAGGGGTTTGTAGTGCACATGTGGCTCTTTTATCTGACCTTCCTAATGAAGTTAGTGCATATCAGGCAGCTAATATGCCTGTAATCATGCACATCATACAGTAACTCCTACGCCTCACCCTTCACACACCCTACAGACGATCATATGATGCGGTGGTCATGTTACCGTACCTTGTAAGTTTAGGGGTAATCCTGGATGTTGCGGGTTCATATGGTTAGAATCCTGGTCGGGTCATTTAAAGTTCTTTGTGATTTAGGGCTTGCGTGTTTCTGTAGCCTTTCTGACATATAGATATATTTATTGTTGGTCCAGCTGTCGCTACGAGTTAGTGCGAGGTGCAGCCATATTGTGGGATACACATTCTGGCCTGCAGATTATCCTATCCAACTAAGGCTAGGAGAATTATTAAATTAATAAACTAAGTAAACATAACTCTCAAATTAAATAGAAATTAAATTTATAGATCACCCCTTTGCAAATGGAATTTAATGTGAATAAATGCCATGTTATGGAATGTGGAATAGGAGAACATAGACCCCACATAACCTATAAATTATGTGAGAAATCTTTAAAGAAAGAGATCTAAGGGTTACCTTGTGGTTACCTTGCAATGATTTCGGGGTTCAACGTCCCCTGCGGCGGCATCCAGCCTCCTTGGCTGGATGCGGCTGCTCGCAGCCTGATGTATGAATCACAGGTATCCTTTGGAGGTGTTTATCAAGTTCTATCTTGAATACTGCGAGAGGTTGGGCCATTATGCCCCTTATGTGTAGGTGGTTCTAGATAGATAACTATCACCTGCGGACCACATATATCGGGTGGATATAAACAGGAGCTGCCTCGTATGGGCCAATAGGCCTTCTGCAGTTAACTTCATTCTTATGTTATGTGAAAAACATCGTGCAAGGAGCCTATGCTACACTTTCTAATTTCAGAATTGCCTTTAAATAAATGTATGGTGAAATACCAATGAAATTGTTTACAGCTTTTGTTAGACCAAAGCTGGAATATTCAGCAGTTGTATAGTGCCTATATCTTAAGATGCACATCAACAAACTGGAAAAGGTGCAAAGACGTGCCACTAAATGGCTCCCAGAACTGAAGGACAAGAGCTACGAGGAGAGGTTAGAGGCATTAAATATGCCAAAACAAGAAGATAGAGGAAAGAGAGGCGATATGATCACTACGTACAAAATAGTAACAGGAATTTATCAAATTAATAGGGAAGGTTTCCTGAGACCTGGAACTTCAAGAAGAAGAGGTCATAGTTTTAAACAAACTAAACAAAGCCGCTGAAGACATATAAGACAATTCACTTTCGCAAACTTTCACTTTCCTCAGTAGTTTCAAAGCGTTGTACGACAGAGTACTGGGAAGACGGGACACCACAAGTGTAGCTCTCCTCCTGTAACTACACACACATCCTGCAGTAACTCCTACACGTCACCCTTCACACACACACACACACACACACACATACACACACATCCTACAGTAACTCCTACATGTCACCCTTCACACACACACATCCTACAGTAACTCCTACATGTCCCCCTTCACACACACACATCCTACAGTAACTCCTACACGTCACCCTTCACACACACACATCCTACAGTAACTCCTACACGTCACCCTTCACACACACACATCCTACAGTAACTCCTACATGTCACCCTTCACACACACACACCCTACAGTAACTCCTACACGTCACCCTTCACACACACACATCCTACAGTAACTCCTACATGTCACCCTTCACACACACACATCCTACAGTAACTCCTACATGTCACCCTTCACACACACACACACACATCCTACAGTAACTCCTACACGTCACCCTTCACACACACACACATCCTACAGTAACTCCTACATGTCACCCTTCACACACACATATCCTACAGTAACTCCTACACATAACCCTTAACACACACACACACACATCCTACAGTAACTCTTACACGTCACCCTTCACACACACACATCCTACAGTAACTCCTACATGTCACCCTTCACACACACATATCCTACAGTAACTCCTACACATAACCCTTAATACACACACACACACATCCTACAGTAACTCCTACACGTCACCCTTCACACACACACACACATCCTACAGTAACTCCTACATGTCACCCTTCACACACACACATCCTACAGTAACTCCTACACGTCACCCTTCACACACACACATCCTACAGTAACTCCTACACGTCACCCTTCACACACACACATCCTACAGTAACTCCTACACGTCACCCTTCACACACACACATCCTACAGTAACTCCTACACGTCACCCTTCACACACACACACACACACACACACACACACACACACCAACAGATGATGGTTTCAAAGGATTCTCAACACAAGATATAAGGAAAGGAGGTGTTCTTGGCAGGTTAGAGATAATTGAGGATATGCAAAAGAAGTATGAAGAAAAAGTGCTTAAATTGGAAGAGGACAATGGAGCTCTTTGGAGTGAGCTTTGCACTCTAAAAGGGAGTATGCTTCAACAAGGTAAGATTATTACTGCATTAACAGACAAGGTAACAAATCAGGAGGAGCAAATCAAGGAACTAGTGAAAGAAAATGAGGCATGGAAAGTGAAGTGTGGTGACTTTGAAGAAATAAACAAGAAAATAGACTCATATGGTGAACAACTCCAAGCAAGCCTAAGAGCTAACATAGAGTTAGGTAAGGATCTCCAACTGGAAACTTCACTGACAACTCACATAGAGGAGGTGAATAAAGAACTAGAAAAGTATAAAGAAGAATTAAAAGCGACATATGCTGAAGTTGTAAAAGAGAAAGAGACTATCAAAGAAGTG